AAAACCATTATTAATATCTATCTTTTTTTGTATTTTTATCATAGTTCATGTGGTAAACATAATATATGGATATCATGCAAGTGTCCTGTATTTGAGTGAGTCACTCAGTACACGAATCTGCCACATACAGGTCCTGTCCACTAACCAGTGATAACAGTTTCATACTGGCACCATATGGACATCACTAAATACATTCCTTATGATTATTATAATTTTAAATAATATAAGAGGTTGAAACCTTTATTATAATAACCAAGAATTTTCCAACAATATGCCATATGTGTATAGTAAAATTACAAATATAAAATTAACAAAAATTACTCTAAAATGCATTAGCCTATTTATCACTGTTTCTTGTGGAATTCCTAGGGTTCTGAGGAACACCAGTTGAGAAACATTGCTCTATTCTATTCAGCAATGTATTTTGTTCAATCTAAACAGCCCACACAAGCCAACGTATATTTATTCGCTAGCAGCTTGGAGCCATCGAAGGGTATTGTTAATCAAAGTTAATTATATAAATCATGTTAATTACATTCTACTGACATGCAATTAAAAGGTGCATGTAATGTGAGGTCTATGATTTCCTCCAAGGGGAATAACTATTCAAACATTGTCAGAAAAATAATTAATGATAATCACTGTTGCATATAAATGATGAAACAATAGATGACATCTCTACTTCTTAATTAGACATTATGTTGCAGAAATTATGATTAGAGATATTGGAATATTTTTATTTTAAAAAAAATGAATAATAAGAATATGGTATTTAACAGTGCAATCAGAGATTTTTATTTTTGCCTTAATATTAGTTTCAGACAATTCAGATTGTATAAACTGACTTAATTACAAGAATATTCAAATATCTTTTTTCTGTATAAATTAATAATGATTACATGTAAAACGATATGGCTAGGATGTAGTGATAGAAAAATAAATAAATAAAAATAAACAAATGATAACAAGTAGACCAAAATGTCACAATCTCAAAAAATAAATGTATATTCAGAATTACTAGGCCATGAAGCCATATTTCGACCAACTAATCAGAAACTATCCCAACCAGGATACAAACACTAGTGAGTGAACCAGAAACAAAATTGGTTCCCAACCAGGATATGCAGTCACTGATTGTGCACCAATCAGAAGACAAGCAGCAGTTCTGAAGCAGTTCTCTAGATTTGTACAGGGTGTGACAAAATGATCTGACATCTTTGTAGGTTTAATAAAAGCAAAATAGAGTAAAGAATGAAAAATGTGTTTTTATTTTCAAAATGCACATATAATGCCATTTTGTTTCATTTCATTTTAAAAAATTAAATCAGTCACAAATCCAAAATAAAACTCAAATTAAATCAGTCACAAATTCAAAATAAAAATTTTTTTTATTGAAAGACAACTGTTTCACAATAAAAACTTTTAGCAAGTTTTGCAAACAACCAATTATGGAATTTGATATTGGCTGCATGTACACACACATGCACACACACATATAGTGATTTTTCAAGCATAGCTTAGATGTGGCACAAAGCCAAAATTATTGGGCACCCAGTGAGGATTGAACTCACTCATAATTGTTCTAGCAAGACAAGTTTACTAATCATTACACCACCTCGAGATGCTCCCCACATATTTATGCTTAGAGTAGTGGTTATCAATGTGAAATGTAGATATTGGCACGACCAAGTCACTGTATTCATTTTTGCACAAATACCCTTGGGAAAGTTATGAAACCATTGCTTCTAGCTATGGATTAAATAACAATGCAGACTGGGCTCTCTAGCCTTAGTTGTCATCCAGTCTGGAAGGTAAATCTGAGAAGGGCTGTTTGAAGATTTTATGGCACACAGTGCACCATTTCTTTGTTATTAGTTATTGGAAAAGTGCGGCTGATTCTACACAAGCCTTCACCACCATAATCAAATCCTGTCTGGGGATAGTTTGGCTGTCCAGGTCTTGAAAACTGAACTGTTAAGCCATCAGACATCAAGATCAATGAGAGTCTACCAGACACATGCACACCCAACATTAACTTTGTTAATACTTGTTTGATTAAAGATGAAAAACTGTTTATTTTTGTAATCTTTTTTTTTACTTAAATTGTTTGTTTACATACAAGAGAACACATGTCACAATTCATTAAGTGTAAATATTGTCCAAATGTTTGTGAGCTAATGCTTTTGATCAGACATCTGACAATTACCAAAATCTGGGGTACTACAAAAACAAAATTGATGTTAATACTTGTTTTTTTAATTTTGGTCTTGTAGCTATTTATGCTTTATGATGATGGACAAGTGATGTCTACAAAGTAAAGTACAGATAGACATAAATTGACTTGAATTAAAAAAAATAATTACAGGGAACATCCAACACTTGTAAAATCCAGAAAAGACTTAATGTTGAATGTATGCATATTGAAGGCACAACAAAGACAACCACCATCATAAAACAGTTGACAAATATAAATGTATGAAATGTAATAAGATTTTTTCAAAAGCAAAAATCCGGCAGAAATTCACTATGAACTGTGTATAGTGAACATAAGTGTATCTAGTAGTTGTTAAATGCATTCAAAATATCAATGTCATAGTTGTAAAGGATATACAGGGTGAGATGGATAAATTGTCGTCTAAATTACACAAAATTATAACTAACACCGACATCTCATTTTAACAGATATATCTACCAAAATTACACAAAAATTTATTTAATAAAATTGCCATTGCCTTCAAATATGGCCTCCAGACATCAGAATCTCCTGCAACTCTTTTGGACAATCTCCTTATTTAAATTGGTGAATACTGCCATAATCCTTGGCTTCAGTTCATCTTTGGTGTTCCAAGGAGCTTTATATATATATATATATATATATATATATATATAAAAAGTGAACATTGAAGTCTGTTTCATGCTAGATGCAATTGTCAGGCCACAAGTGTTGTTTTTTTCTCAGCTATTTATATATATGGGTCAGTGGTCAGTAGTCTATTTTGTCAGTTATTTTGCTGGAAGTCGTTTATTTATTTATTTGGGTTAAATTATTTTGCTTGTCATTATTTATTTTATTTTATTTTATTTTCATTTTTATTTCTTATATATTTATTTTTATTTTAATCGGTGTTTTATTAACATAGTAAAATTTGTTTATATCGCTTATTTAATAGTTTTGTTTTGGTTTGGGAAGATAAAGCTGTTTATTCAATTTTGGGGTTGATTGCTGTAGTTTATTCTAACTATTATTTTGGTGGGAGCAGTTTTAATTTGTTTATTACTTCATTTATTTATTTGGATTGGTTATCTTGTTTTTTCTAACGGTTAATTTATCAGGATCCATTTGTTGGTTTATTTATTTGGATTAATTTAGATTAATTTATTTTACTTGTTTTTTAATATTTATTTATTATACTGTTTATTTTTATTTATTCTTTTCGGTTTTCAATTTTTAAGTAACGTAATATTTTTTTTTATCGTATATAACAGTTATAGCTATTTTTTTCATCCAATTTTTGGTTTGATTTTTATAGTCTAACTTATTATTTTGGTCATAATGGTTTGTTAATTTGTTTATTATTTACTTTATTTATTTGGGTTCATTGATTTTTTTTAATTCTATTTCATCTATTCAAATGGGTGTGATGTGGTATTTTGTTTGGGTTCATTTATTTTACTTATTTTATTGTCATTTTGTTTATTTATTTATTTTATTTTATTTTATTTTTTTTCAGTTTTTGATTTTTAAGTAATGGAGTAAAAATTTGTTTTCATGTCTGCATTTTGAGATGAGCTTGGATCGTTTATTTAATAATTTATTTTGGTCTGGGAAGGTAATGATAGCTATTTTTTTCCTCCAAGCAAAGTTTGAAAGTTTTTCATTGGTTGTTGTAGGTTAATGATCTTTTCCTTATTTTCCAAGATATTTTTGTTGTGATGTGTGTTTTGTTTTTAATTTCCCAGATATACTTAGGAAGCATTGTGCTGTTCGTGTTTTTACTATTTGTGAAAGATGTTTTGTGTGCATAATTTCTTTGTTTCCAGGGTCCTTTAGTTACTCCCATGTATACTTTTTCTTCATTATCTGGTGATTTTATCATGGCTTGGTATATTACGCTGTTTTGTAAGCAATTACCATTTAAGGGACATTCATTCTTTATTCTGCAGTTACACATGGGTTTAATTTGTTCATGTGGTTTGTTGATAGTTTTCTTGTTGTGCTTTTTTATTATTTGTGCCATGTTCTCGGTGCAACTGTAGCTGATTTTTACTGTGTTTTTGTTGAATATTTTGTGTAGGGTGTTTGATTCAGGGAAGTGTTTGTGTAACTAAAGGACCCTGGAAATGAAAAGAGTGAATAAAAATATACAATATATTAAATAATAAAACACAAGTAAAATAAATTAATCTAAATTCATCCAAATAAATAAATAAACAAACTAACAAACCAATCCCGATAAATTAACCGTTAGAAAAAGCAAAGATAATCAATCCAAATAAATACATGAAGTAATAAACAAATTAAAACTGCTCCCACTAAACTACATTTTCTAATTAAATTAATAATTTTCTAATTAAATATATTTTGATTAAAGTAACAGTATTATATTTTTTTTAAACCCTTCTGTATCTGTTCTTAATATTTTGACCAGGGGGTGTACATAGAAAAAGAGAGAACATACAACAATAGATGTACACATTATACAATAATATATAGATTCACATATATAAAGTGAGAGAAAGAGAGAATGATAGCAAAAGAAAGAATTGTATTCATATATATCTATAGATGTATTAATAATGAAAATATATATTCCTAACATGAAACCCTTTACATTTCTATAACAGATACCATTGCAAATAAATAGAAAGAGAAATATGACTGATGTCTGTTCTTATGGGACTCATGAGGATAGAGCAGAATATATGTTTGTACAGGAAAATGTTACCATAGCTCTTAAAAGCATTCATGATGACTAATAAGGATTTTTACTTTATTTCAGGCCTATGGAGCTAATTCAGAGAGAAGGCTTAACATACCAGGCGAGGTAGGTTGATATCTTTTTATTTTTTACAGAAAATTTTCTTCAGTTCCTATTCAGATGATAGTGTCATTACATTCAATGGACTATAAACAAAGCACGCTGTAAAGTTAGTTAATCCCTATAACTCATCAAGAAAAATTATGTTTTATTTCCCTGATAAATATGATTATGTATAAAGTGCATTTAGCTGTCTCCTCCCATTTAGACTTTACTGCCAATATATTAGAAAGGAGATCAGAAGATCTTTGACCGTGGTTCATTCTCTGATCATTATTGACCACTTAACATCTATACAGATTTATTCACAAGGGATTGTTAAATACAAAAGGTTCAACCAATGGTAAGTTAATATACAACATTTTTAATAACAAAGAGATTATGTATATACACTATAGGCCAAAGGTTTGGGGTTCACCTTCTGGATTTAATAATTAATAAGTTTCATACCTACTTTGGTTTAATTAACGCCTACTAAGATAATATACTGAAACTATTTGACACAATAGGGCATAGCATCCAATTCTTTAGAGAGAGGGTTACCTAAAATTTAAAATCTGTCAGCTCTAAGATTACCGTTAGACAGCAGGGTACATTAGGCAAAGAAAGCTAAAATTTTAACAAAATATTATAGAGTAATGGGTTTAAATCCATTTTATTATTATTATTATTGAATATATGATAAAACACTTAAAGGAAAAAAAAAGTACATCTTACCTGAAATGGTCTAGTAAATTAGTTTTGAAAAAGACAGGAAGCTTCAGGTTTGAGACTATTCTTCAAAATAAAGGGGATGACCTCAAAACTTTTGCTTATACTATATATGCATGTATGTGTATGTATGTATATATATATATATATATATATATATATATATATATACACAATCTCTGATATTGAGCACTCTTCTCTAATAAGTAGAGGGTATTTATAAAATCTGTGTGCAATTTTAAATACTGATAGTTTGTAACTATACATAATAGAATTTTATATATATATATATAGGACTGAGCTTCTGGTTCCTTCTAATTTTTTTTTCATTCTCCCTTACTCCCAGTAGCCCTTTGCATCTTAGTGGCATCATTGTCTTGCTTTGGCTAAATTGCTAATCTCTCTCTCTCTGTATACATATAATTTAAATAAGCTGTATTTGGGCAGCATAAATTCTTTCAAACAACCCTGTTAACACCAATAAGGTCTGTCTTTTTATTAAGTTTTTCCAATTTCTAAGTTATTTTATTTCCAAATAACTGGTAAACTTTCCAAATATCATTTTTTTTTTTTTAATCTGAGTACTTTCAACTGTCACTATAGTCTTGATAACAACTTTAGTTACAGTTGAAAGTACATGGATTAAAAAATGAACTTTGGAAGGTTTACCAGTTTTAATTCTGATTAAAAGTTGGTCAGACAGACCTTATCAGTGTTGTTTAACAGGACTTGTTGAAAATGTATGCAGTCAATGACAAAATTATTTGTACACCCATTCAATTTTGAATACTTTTATCCATTTCTCAGAATCCAATGTCATATGATGCCAGTTTTTTTATACGTTAATAAGCACGAGAAAAAGAAATATAAAACTCAATTTTCAGAACCATAGGTTAAATACAACAAATTTGACAGGTGAATTATTCAAAATAGGAAAAGACAAAATTATTCGTACAGTATTCACAATATTAATAGTCAATATCATGGCCTCTCATCTTCATAACTTGCTGCAATTGTTTTCTAAAGTTTTTTCTGAGGTTTTGAACAAGTTTTTCTGGGATTTTCTTCCATTCTTCAATGTTTACACATTTTAATTCCTGAAAGCTTTTTGGTGACTGACGATTTATTTGAACTTTCAACTTGTTGTATTTAACCTATTGTTCTGAAAATCAAGTTTTATATTCTTTTTTGTGCTAATTAACATATAAAAATCTGGCACTATATGGGCATGAGATTTTGAGAAATGGATAAAAATATTCAAAATTAATATGTGTATGAATAATTTTGTCGTTGACTGTATATATGTATATATAAACATATGCACACATACACACACATGCATATCTATAAAAAGAAAAAAGAAATACACAAACATATACAATACACATGTACAAAAATCTGTAAAAAGGATAAGAATTTTCAAAATTGTTCCTCCAAATGATTGATAAACATTCTCCTTAAATTAACCCTCTTAGTAAAATATTTAACAGAAACACATTAAAACTAAGTTATAGCTGCACCAATAATCTTGAGAAGATTATAAAGTTACACAATAATAAAATTTTAAACCAATATAATAATCTGGGTCATAATACACATTCCAAGGAAAATATTATTAATGATTTTGGCCAATGTAATTGTAGGAATTCTGACCAATATCCATTGCCGAACAAATGTTTAACTAAATCTCTTGTTTATGTTTGTACTATCTCTACAATAGAGAATCTGACGGTTGAAAAATTCTATATTGGTAGTATTAAGAATTCTTTCAAGACTAGATGGCATCAACATACCTTGTCCTTCACCAATAGTTCTTACAGAAATAATACATCACTTTCTAAATAATTTTGAAGTTTAAAAGATGATATTAAGACTCCTATGGTGAAATGGAAAATGAACATGTTCAGCAGTCAGTCTGCTGTCAATAAATCGATTAAAACATCAAAAAACAAGACCCTGTGGTTAAGAAATGCTTGTGTACAACATTTTATGCTATAAGTAAGTAATATTTGTTTCAAGTTAGATAAATTTAACTTTAAATTTGCTAATTTTCCTCAAATAACATTTCAGAAATATATATTTTATTTTTGCAAGATTTTAAAAACCAAGTATTAACTTCGTCTACAAATCACTTCTAAATTAGACTTTCATAAGGCAACTGGAAGTGATGGGATCTCAGCTGTCATCCTAAAAAAATGTGCTTCCAAGCTAGCTCCAGTTCTCTCTAAACTCTACAACTATTACCTCGCTGCTTCCTGCTTTCTTACCTGTTGGAAGTTCTCCTCTGTAGAATCTTCTGACACATCTAACTATCACCCTATTAGTTGCCTATTGCTTTTCAGCAAAGTATTTGAGACTTTAATCAATGCTGAAATGATTAAGCATCTTATCTCTCACGACTTACTCTCTGACAAACAATATGTCTTCTGTTTTGCCTGGTCTACCACTGATGTGCTTACAGCCATTACTGAATATGTATATCAAGCTCTTGATAATAACTGCAAATCTCAAGCTGTGGCTCTAGATATCTCAAAGACATTTGGTAAGGTTTGGCTATGTAAGTTTCAGGGTTACAGTATTAGAGGATGATTGTTTGATTTAATCCAATCATTCCTATCAAATCATGAAATGAAGGTCATTCTGAATGAGCTCCTTTCACATGAATGCAAGTGTCCCCCAAGGCTCTATTCTGGGCCCTATGCTGTTTCTGATTTTCATTAATGATCTTTCTGATGTCATCAGTTCCCGAGTAGCCATTTATGCAAATGACACTACTATTTACTCCTGTCTCAATAGCAAATCCATCAGAGCTGAAAAAGTCAATATGGCTACTGCTCTTGAAAAGGACCTCCAACCTATTGTTAATTGGGGCAGGAAATGGCTTGTAAATTTTAATGCCTTTAAAACTAAACTGTTCTCATTTAACCACCATAGAGAACCTTCCCTGCCTGCCATCAATATGGCTGATGCTCCACTCCAGGAGAGCATCTCACTGTGCCTTCTTGGCCTCACATTTTCAACTGACTTGAAGTGGAACAACTACATTGAATCAACAGCTGCATCTACTGCAAGGAAAGTTGGTTCAGTGAGTATGCCAGAAGGTTTTCCTCATCATAGTTCAAATTGCACATTTGCTAATCTACCATTCAGCTGTGCATTGAATACTGTTGCCATATCTGGTCTGGGCTCCTGCTATTCTTGACAAAATCCAAAGAAGAATCTGCAATGTAATCAATCCTGACTTGGCATCTCAACTTCAGTCACTTTCTCACCATGTAATGTGGCTTCCCTCTGTCTTTTCTACAAATATTTTCATGGCACCAGCTCTGACAAGCCTTTTTCTCTGGTGCCCTAACTCCATGAATTTAAGCGTGCTACTAGATTAGCATCTAGGTCCCACTCTTTTACTGTTGAAATAGTTAAATGTAGCCACCACTTCTACTCCAAGTTGTTTTTCTCACACTTCCCAACAGTGGAACTCCCTTCTGTTTACTTACTTCCTAAAGACTACAATGTTCAAAAATTTCTGTCATCTTGAACCCCATTCATCTTTTATCCCTTTTTCGATCCCACCTATACCCAGTCTTTTCTCTCGCTTTCACTCTCTGTAACCCCCTGTGTACTAGTGGCATTCTCACCTTGCTTGGGGTGAAATGATTTAAAAAAAAAAAAAAAAAAATCCCTCTGTCAAACTGACCGAATTTCATCGATTTTACTGAAAAAAAAATCAGTTTCTATCAACATAATTCTGCTGGAAATAGTAAATTTTAAATACTTTAGCTTCCAATTAAAGCTAAAATGAAAGCGTCTTCATTTTAAAAAATTCACTTTAAACATTACACATACTGAATTAGTGGAGGTACCTATTTTAAAGATTTACATATTACTACTTCATGACATTTTTAATCTCATCTGTAGTCTTGTGAGATTGACATCTGATCTCTCATCTGATTTAGCTCCGGTTGTGTTCAATGCTTTGAAAACCAAAATAGTAAAATTCCATCATCACCAATCATACCTAGAACTACAACCAGTCATAATGAATGGATGTCCCAATGCGTGTTCCCTGCCTTGAGCAACTATTGGGCCTTAAACTCACCCTAGACCTTAAGTGGAACTCATACATACAATTCGTCCCTAAAGATGCAGGAAAAATGGTCAGTTCCCTGTACCACTCCAATAAGTATTTAATTCTTTGTGTTATCCTCTTCCTTTACAAGGACCAGATCAGGCCTAAAATGGAGTACTGCTGTCGTATTTGGGCAGGAGCTGCCTATTCCTCATTTTCCAGCCTTGATAGAGTCCAAAAGTATCTCTGCATCCTTGTGGGTGATACGTTATTTTCCAGCCTGCAACCCTTCTCTCACAGAAGAGATGTGGCAAGCTTCTCACTGCTCTATCTTTTGGAAAGTGCTCAGACGAACTGCATTCCCTGGTTCCACCAGTTCTAACCTTCATGGCTAGTATCCGCCATGCTGCTCACATTGTAGTAAACCACCCACATTTCCTCCATATTCCATAGGTGAGAAGGAAGTTTGACACAAGCACCTTCTATGAAACTGACTCTAAGCTTCTAATGAGAGAGGGCTATAATAGAAAGATTTATATTTTCCGTGTTGTGGGCATTATCACGTCCAATAATATTGTAGTTCTTGCATGGAACAGAATGGCTGAAAGGATAAAGAATGACAAATATACTTTGTTCTCAGAGAGACTTTTATACTATTAAGACATACACAAAACTGTATATACAAATATACACATGTTCTACATGGAGAATAATATATATAATCACATACATTTACACAGCAAAGCAGAGTGTAAAGAGAAACAAAACAGAAGGATCTTACATATAATATGGAGATACTCCTGTGTCTGGAGAAGCCATGTTTAGGACTCCAAATTCAAATGGGCTGGATTCATCTATGTCCCACGCAAGGACATATTCCATGAATGGGAAACAGCAAGTCTTGGGTTTTCCCAAATTGAGGACTGCAAGCTGGAGTTTCATTCTATATCTGGGAAAGATATATTTCCAAAGGGAAGCAGCCCTATAGACTTATAAGGTGCTAGGGAGGCAGATTTAGCCTCTGCCCAGACCATGGTGGGCCTAGGCTAAAGAAAGCAACTTTACTGTTTGGCTGCTGTAAACAAAACTGAATTTGACTGCAGCTTTTGTCACTGTATGGTGTGATGTCACTAAGTGGTCTGTCATGTGACCCATGTGACTTATTTCCACCTAAGGGAGATAAGCATCTTCTGTATCCCAGCAAGATGTTTCTTTGATCATTGCAGTCTTAACCTGTTCAAGGCGAGAGGTTAACCATTATCTCCACATCCGTCTAAACTGTTCCTCTTACTTTGTAACCCTCTACTTCAAGTGCCTTGTACAGGATAAACCTCACTGTAAAAAAATGGCTAAGTTTTGTACTCTAATTTCAAGAAAGATTCACTTATGTTACTTTAAATAATTTTCTAGGTACAGCTTAGATGTGGCACAAGTTCGAAAGTATGGGGCACCTAGTGAGGGTCGAACTCACTTTTCAGTCATAACTGATCTGGCGGGACAAACTTGCTAACCATTACACTGCCTCAAGGTGCCTACTTATGTTACTTTAATAAGTACTGAAATTTTATGTGAAAATTCTGTTACATTATATTAATTTTGTCAGTAACTAATAGTTTTGCAAATGTTAATTTTATTTTTCTAGAGAAAATTTCTCATTTACATATGCGAACATCTATATTTAAAAAATAAAGCTGTTTAAAAATTATTTTTGCATTTTTAGAATCTACCAAATGTAATATCTGCACGACATTTTGTTGGTTGGTACAATGGTCTGCCTGAGGAACAAGATGTAAGTATGTAATTTATTTCCTGAGTACAAAATTGACCCTAAATATATATTTTTGAATTCCTCATGAGTCCCATTACCCAATAAGTTCTTAAGGGCATCATATAGTAGCAGTAGTGTGGCTTAAGCAAGATGAAGCCTATTCCTCTTCAGGCTGGTTTTGAATTTAATTTTCCTCTGCTACATCAAGGCAAGAAATTTCACTCTGCCTTATTATTTAACCTATTGCTGAAAGAAGATGGTTTCATGCCTTTTTCCTGTGTATTTGTGTGCAAAGTGAACAAAATAGATTTATAGGAATTGAACTCTGCACACTGACATCTCTTTCTGTGTTGATAACCATTACACTCTCTATGCTTCCATTCTTGAAGAAGTTGTTCTTAACTGAGTTAACTTAAAGTTTCTAAGAAATCTTATTTCTTTAAAGATAAGGACTGGGAAAAGATTTTTCTTCTAATTTAACATAAGCTCTCCCGTGGGTACAAGACAAGGGCTTAATTCAATCAAATTTTCTCTTCTAGTATTTGCATTCTTCATTCATCTTCTATTAAAGCAAATTGATTTTTCTTTGTAAAGATCTTTTCTAATTTAAAATTGTATGAATGAAAAAATAATATGAAAGTTTTTTTCTATTTGCAAAATACTTTAGACATTTATTATTATTATTATTATTTGAAATCCTCTTAGATGTTTCAGTTGGGTGATAATGATCATATCTCAGCTTTTACCCACGATTTAGAGAAACAATACTTAGCACATGAGCTGTTCCAAGCAGTATTGCCGTCTGCACACTCACAATGATGTCAGGTATCCCAAAGGCGTCTTGCAAGGCAGAAAGATTCCTGGAAATAGTTATGAGTGCACCAACCACAATATTGACCATTTTCAGCTGCTGCTTGGTATAATTTCTCTGATTTGCTCTGCCAAGTCTTTGCATCTCTGTATTTTTACCTTCATCACCTTTACAGTATCCAAGTTATTCCAATGTCTGTCATGATCCATTCATGGCTGCTCTTCTGCACAAGTGTTATATCAGGATGATTGCTCTCCAAGTGCTTGTCAGTCAAGAGGTTGTATCCCACATAAACTTCACTTGCTTATTCTCAGCTATTGACAGTGATGAATGATTGTATTATTTCTTCTTATTTTCGCTATAACAAATATATGTGGATGGATCAATAAGTCTGTAGCCTGATATATCATTACTAGGTGATTTTCTATGCAAAATTTTCATATGTACTATTCAGTCTTTTAACTTTTAATTCAGTGGTGAATACTAATTAATAAAGTGCATTGACAAGAAAGGAGATTATACTGAAAAATAAATATTTGTTGTATAAAATAAATACATTTTTCTCCTCTTTATAAAATAGGTGTAAGTGGCTTGATGGTTAATAGCATGAGGAATGGAATTGACAAACCAAGTTGAAATTCCAACAGGGACAGTTTGAAGTCACTTTGAACTAATGCTCTTGGAAATACATGAATTCACTTCTCCTTCTCAGTCATAGATAAATTGCATGATAATTGGAGCCCTTAGTCATTCCTTACAACTGATACCATGTAATCCATTACAATCTGTCATATAGAGTTGAGCTGGGTACTGTCAAGTAATAGAATATCTATGTCTTCATAATTAAAATATATTTCTTGAATTTGTTTGATGACTGAAATAGATGTGGTCTTTGCTCTAAATCAGGTAAAAGCCCAAATCTTTCAAGACAAAGAAGGATTTCTTTACTTATAACATTGGCACAATACAATTAGTTAATATTTACTAAAAGATCTATCTTTTCTATCATGTCAAAATGATTATAGGATTATCTATGGATGGATTGACACTTCTTCACAGGATAAGAGTATCTGTGAGCTCAGCATTACATCAAAGTGTCACTGTCCTGGCCTTTGCCTCTGATCATTGTAAAATCAGAAGGCAACTTAGAATGGTGAAAGATGCTTTCCAAAAGCTAAGCAAAGTATTAAGAAATAGGAAAAATTCATTAGAAACAAAGAAAAGTGTGCTGAACTGTTAAGTAATATTGGGTCTCCTATATGAAAGTGAATGCTGGATGTTACAGATGAAGGGGGCAACAAAAATGATTTTTTACAGAAGGATACTGAGAATACCATGAACTTAACATGTGAGTAACAAGGAGGTTTTAAGAAAAATGGGAAATAAAAGGCTCCTTAAAATATCAGAAAGAGTTAAAATTTCCATGACACATAATGTGGAAAGAAGGCTTGGAGAATTTGACACTCACTGGTCATATTGAAGACAAGAACAGTAGAGGAAAGCAGCAAGTAACCTACCTAATGAGCTTGTGTAAATGGATATCAGAACAAGAACTGGGAGCAATGGTGAAAAAACAAATCTTACTAAGAGCAAAGGACAAGAAGTTATGGAGAGCAATGATCGCTCATGTCCTATTTACTTTAGGGTGACAGAAGTTAGGAATAGAGAAATAAAAAAATAAGCAGAAAAGGTCACACTGTTTATTATTAGAGATGAGTTTTTTAAGTTGCATTAAATAAATTATAGAATCATTTGGATTCTTAACAAAATCTGCACTGTTATCAGTCCTGATCTGGCATCTCAGCTTCAATCATTTTCCCATTGTTGTAATGGAGCTTCCTTGTGCCTTTTCTATAAATATTTTCATAGTAATTCTTCTGATGAGCTTTTTCTGTCTGAATTTCTGGGATGAGGAGTTATTATTTACACTATTTACATGTGGGCTGTTGTCCTTATGAGGACAATAGTCCACATATAAATAATGTAAATAATAATAGTTCTTTCTCTTGCACTTCTCACCTGTAGAACTTTCTTCCAGCTTCTTGTTTACCTGTCAAATGCAATTTTTAAAAAAATTAAATACAATGTTTATCTTCACCTATCTCCTTGAATCCTGTTTATTGTCCTTTCTCCTCAATAAAGTTTTCTCAGTTTCTTATACTCTTAGTAACCTGTAGTCTTAGTGGCTTTAAAATGAATAAAAAATAAGATATATATACAAAGTATAAACAAAGAAATAATCAAATTAAGCAGTAACTATTTGAGAATTTTTCTTTTTTAATTTATCTATTTACCAGTTAAAATTGAATTTTGATGTAGAAGATGTGGCTATTGTTGGACATGGAAATGTGGCACTGGATATTACTCGAATATTACTTACACCCTTAGAACTGTTGAAGGTAAGTCTTAACTCATTATGAACATTGCATTTATACTTTACACTGCCTTGTAAAGTCAAAGCAACTATTGAGTTCTCATTCTTGCAAGCCATTAATAGTAAGATTGATCCTTATTATTTGTTTTACTAATATGATTATGACAATTTTTGGCTTATCTTGATAAGTAGCGTATACGATCCCCGATATATATTTAACATTACAGTATTATAGAACTAGGCTAGATATATACTATCATGTTTAGATAAACATTATGTTGATCGTGTTTAGGTAAACATTATTCTACAAGATATCTCCTGGGTCTTATATACTTTAAATATTATTGGGAGGAAATTGGATGTTGCATAAACAGTTAAAAATACTGCATTTCTGCAAATATCTGCTTTTTAAATTTATCTGCCTTTTTCATTTACTAAAAAATTCTTTATTGGTTAAAATGTATATGGTATTTTCTGTGTAAATGTTAAGAAATTAGCAGCCTAACCAGTTCTTGAAATGTGGGTTGAAAGTCAGTATTTGTTAAAGAGAATGATCAAAATTGAAAATAATATGACTAACAAAGAGAATAGACTTGATATTATTTCAATATTACATCAAAGAATTGACCTGCAACTAAAATCATGTAGGTCTCCTCTCTTTCTGTTAAAAAGAAAATATACTCCTATAAGTCTCATTCTATTTAATACAAAGTAAAACAACTTTCAATCCTGATTTGAAAAACTTAAATAATAAGAAAAAGTTAAACATTTTTAACACTTTTGCTACTGTGGACAGACTTTTATATATCTTTACAAAACTTATATTGCCTGAAGATAATAAAGATATACAATTTCGAGATACCATGAAATATTAGCCCTTAATGTTTGACATGGAAAGGAAACTACAAAAGCTCCTACAGAAGGTAGCAAAGGAAAACAAAAAGAAGGAATTATAAACTACAAGAAGACAGAATGCATGGTTATCAGCAAATGGATGAGCCCAAAATGCAATTACAAATTGTGGATACTAAAATCAAACAAGTACAAAAATTTAAATATCTGAGAAGTGTTCTAACAGTGGACAGAAAGTGTGACACTGAGATCTGAAGATGTATTGGGATGGTGAAAGATGTATTCCAAAACCTAAGCAGAGTATTAAGTGATAGAGAAACAAAGAAAAGAGCATTAAACTGTTATGTGATATCTGTCTTCCTATATGGTAGTGAATGCTGGACAATCTCCTCAAAGATGAAGAAGAGACTTGAAGCAACAGAAATGTTGTGAGGATATAATGGACCGAACATGTGACCAATGACAAAGTTTTAGAGAAAATGGAAACAAAAAAGAAACTTATGTTTAACATCAGGAAGAGACAGTTGAAATTTTGGGGGCACATAATGAGGAAGGAGGGCTTGGAAATTCTGATACTCACAAAACAGATTATGGGAAAAAGGGACAGAGAAAAGCAGTGTGTAACATACTTGATGAGCTTGAGTAAATGGATGGTAGAACAGTTTAGGAGAAATAACAAAAAGACAAAACTTATTAAGAGCTACAAGTTACAGGAAGATGTAAAGGGCCATGATCACCTACATCCTAATGGGACACAGCATATAAAAGTAGAAGAAGAATGTTTATGTTATAAACTATCATTTAGTATTATTTCAAAATCAGTAGAATCATCTGGTAGCATACAATACAACCTGTTTTGTGATGTATTTTTACTATATTGTATGTTGGGAATGTTGTTTAGCTTAGACTGTATTTATTTCCAGTAAATGAAAATTTCCTGTTTTTTTTTTCCTCAAACAGGCCTGCACAGCCATGCAGCAATGCTATAAGAATGCAGCAGTGGAAATATTAATAAAATGCTAAAATAGATTTATCTGAAAAATTTAACAAAAAATGGTCTTTCTGTCTGAATTTCTGAAGTGAGAAGTTATCATTATTTACATTATTATTATTCATAGTAATGTCCTCATCTTTGTTGTTATTATCACAATGTTTTGGCTGTTGTGCATTCTATTCAAAATTACCTGTAGGTTATCCACCCAGATACCTGAAGAAAACTGGAGAGCACAACAGCCAAAACATTATGATAATAACAACAGAGATAAAGATATTAGTCAGAATGTAAATAGTATAAAAATATATGTTTTTTTTTTTCTAATGTTACACATAAACACATACAAATACAGAAAATGCCTTTGATAAAATTAATTTTATATGTGAACATTTGAAAAGATAGTTTGAAGCTGTTCTAGACCATTCCAAAAATGTGATTGAAGCAATGAGTTTAGAATTGTATTAACTCAAGGCTTATAGCATTGTGCATTGGTTATTTATGCTTTGTTGAAGCCAATTGATTTTCCTTGGTAAGAGAAGCTTTCCTGGATCTAAAATGGAATGGTAGTTAAAGTATTGATTTATACAGTCATCTGGAAAATAAGGATTTTATGAATAAGGAAATTTCTGAATTTCTGGGGTGAGGAGTTATTATTTACATGCCAACTATTGTATTCATCTTTGTTGCTATTATCACAATGTTTCAAACTGTGTCCTCATTCTTCAAGTGTCTGTCGATCAGGGTGACTGTGATAAAATTCATATAATTGTTGGTTAGTAAGACTAAGAAAAACATTGGAAACAAAGGTTGAGTGAAGAATGGTTCTAATCGCATGAGAACATGTATTAAGAATTGAGTAGTTCAGTGCGACAAGTGTACGACTGAAAATCGCTATGTATTTGCAACCCCCTTTTTGCCTCTGTTCCATGAGCAGATATTCTACTCATAGCAGATGGATGAGTCAATAATGAGTGAAGGTAAGTCAGTCTTTCTACACAACAGTACCTGTAGAGAATTTCAAACTGAACCCTTTATTTAATCTACAAGGGTAGATTTTTCTATTTATACTGACCATATTTAGTTGTGCTCAGTTATTACTCACCTCATTTCCAAGATTGACAAGCTCCTGATAAAGGTCAAAGAGTGCAACAGCTGAAACATAATGACAACAACAAAGATGGTACAATAGTCCACATGTAAATAATGAGTAAAGAAATGTCAGAATATTACACATTCTAAAGATGTTATTAGATTCCTTAAGTTTCTGTCAATAATGTTCCAGTTATCATGAGGAGGTCACATAGCAAGGAACTGATTGATTGATTTGTCTTTTATGGCTTATCAACCCTTTGTAGGTTATTTAAAGCCAGAAAATATTTTTAGATTCTAAGAATTTTTATTTATTTTTTTTTTTGCTGGGGGAGATAATAATGGTTGAGTGATATGTATTACTAATTAATCCATAGCTTGGGGGAGAAGAGGGTATTTGCATGTAAGTGAATATAACAAACCCCGCTAGAACTGAAACTCAGCTCTCCAATTAATAATTCCGAGCTATTATCTATTAAACCACCCACACATCCAAGCTTATAGCACCCGGTATTCACAAGCAGTCACCTACCATGTAGGTACTGACCAAGCTCAACATTGCTTAACTTCGATAATCAGATGGGAACCGGTGTTTCAACATGATGTGGTCATAAGCCCATATCAGTGAAGAAAAGAGACAAATTTGTTATATACACACATTTCCAAAGTCTGTTCAAAATTTATGCAACTATATTGAGTACTTCAAGGAATGGTTGCATAGCTATAACATCTAATTATAGAGAACTTAACTGAATATGCATGAACAGACAATCTCCTGTGAGAAATCATTGAGTGAGCTTGTGTACTGTGTGACTGTTACATCCACAATGACTACACAAGTAAAGCCTTCATATCTCATACAGAATTTTTTGCCAAACATCACATCAGTCAGGTTTGTCATCCTGGACCAAACTTATTTATTTTTAAAATGTTTTACTTCATTTTTATTGGTAATTCCATTTTACTGTATAATATTTTAAACTTATCAACAGTTCATTGAATGAAGTGTTGATATACAACACATTCCTAATAAGGATTGGGATGAACTGTTTGGTGAGTGAACCAGAATATTTTTCTCTTTATTGATTGGTTAGAAAATATTTATTCTGGCTTTCTTTCAAAAAGATGGCTGACAACATTCAACTACATTTTATAATATCTGATCAGAAAATATCCAGCCATTTTGTAATATCTCCAGAACCATTTTATATTAGCTGCTTTTGGCAAGTAATAAGAAGGGGCCTTACTGTGCATACATGAATAGGCACACTCCAATGAGCTAAGGCAGTAGTGAGACACTACCAAGTGAGCATGTGTACTGTGTGACTGTCACATTCACAAGGACCCAACAAGTAGAGTTATCATGTCTCCTACAGGATTTTTTGGTAAAACATCACATCAGTCAGATTTGACACCCTGGTCTTAATTTATCTGCTTTTAGACTGTTTTACATCATTTTTTTTTTTTTTTTTGATAATTTTATTTTTCAGTTTAATATTTTAAACTTATTGATAAGGGTTGATCAAAAAGCTGTCCACATAAGAAATTTTACACCACATTTTTCTTTTTTGATAGTAATGTTCAATATGTTTACTCTTCATTCTATGCATAAATATATCATATCCTTGCAACTTCTGACTTTTTCCCAAAGCTAAAATCACTGTTGAGATGCTTGAGACTAAGCAGAATACAACAAGGCAGCTGATGGCAATCCCAAAAGAGGAAACTTCAGACTGTTTTGAAAAGCAGAAAAGATGTTGAGATAAGTATGTGAGATCCCAGGAGGAGAACTTTCCAGGGAGATTAAGTTCCATTGCCCTACGTAGAATCTTTTTCATTAATATTAAATGAACACACATCCTATGCACAATGTTCTCTGTTGATGTATTGGTATTACAATATAGCTGAATTGATTTGTAAGAAACTTAGATAGGAAAAATTGTTGAGACAATAATAAATTAAATTCATTAAAAATTTATAAAATTAGGATGCGGGTAGGTTGTGTTCGTGGTAAACAAATGTGATTTTGTGTAAGTAAACAGAAAGAAGCTTAATAAATCTACATGTAATATTTTAGTGTTAGTTTCTATCACAAGACTAGCATCATAAACTCTTTGGCTACAAGAGCAAGCAGCAACCAATAAAATATGTTTCTGACAAGACTTGAATCTGTATCCCACACCTTGATATTTAAATGCAACACAAATCTGAAGTCATCTTGCTACTCCTTCCAATTCTCTGTACCAGCCTATCGTTAAATCATCCTGAAAACACTGGTTTCGATTTGATTACCAAGGTTAAGCAGCATCAAGTTCAGTCTGTACTTAGGTGAGGGACCACTTGGGAATATCAGATACTGTAAGCAGCCTCCTACAATCTGAAATGTTTGGGCTTACATTAGCCCACAAAGGATTGACAGATCAGGAGGTTGAAGATTGTGGGGAGTGTGGAACCACTTCTTAAGTGCTGTTGTTCCCAGGTTCACTCTGACCTGGGGTGGTAATACATATTAGAGTCCTCCCCCCCCAAAAAAAAAACCCAAAATACTATGAAAGTATTAAAATACATTTTTACAGAAAAATGACCAACATTACCAATTTATAGCAAAATGACCAACAATACATTTTATTTGTAGTTGAAGGCATAAAATTGTGTTCTAAATATTTAGATTTTGGCATTAAATAACCTGTAGAGGCTGATATACCACTAAACAAAATCAACCAAACTAAACCAACAAAGGGTTGATAAGCTGTAAAAAAAGCTCAACAATAATTTCTGTACCACTTTTATTTTAAGTAGAAAGAAGTAACTGATCATCAATTTAAGAAAACAGAATTGTTGGTCATTAGTAAGAAGAATAGGTCCAAGATGCAATCTGTTAATTTGGAGATGTCAACATAGAGCAGATAGAGAAATTTAATGATCTGCAAAAGTGTTTTAACACTTGATGAAAAATGTGACACCAAAATATGAAGGTGTATTGAGATATCTAAAGATGCCTTCCAAAAGCTAAACAAAGTATTATGAAACAAGAAAAATTTTGTTAGAAACAAAGAAAAGTGTACTGAACTGCTATATAATATCAATCCTCTTATATGGCAATGTATGTTGGATAATTTTTCTCATAGATGAAGAGGAGACAGAGATATAGTTTTAGAGAAGGATGGTGAGAATACCATGGACAAGGTATATCCACCCTTTGATAGGTTTCGTTTTTCATCCTATGAGGTGACATGCCACTGTCCTCACAAGCAGAAAAGATAGTGGGGAGAGCTGGTTTAGATACCAACCAACCATCCATGTAGCAGATTGTACTGAGTTACAAATAGCAGGCCTTAATCATGTCTTGACATGACCTGAAAAGAGATAAGAAAAGGTCATTAGAAAGAAAAAAAAGTTCTTAATTGCTGTTATATAAAATTTCTTATATGCCAGAGACTAGAAAATATATTATTTTGAATTTTTAGATTAAATATTTTCAGTTATTATTTTATTAATTTAAAATTAGTTCTTTTTTTCGTAGACATGATATACTGATATTTCAAAACCACTAAAACATTTTTAAACTAAGACTATATTAACTGAAAATTATCAATGTTAGAGGGGTTTTTCTGTGTGTATATGGGTTTGACAAGTAAACAGACAGAAAGCTTAAAATTATCACTGTACATGACTATCAGGTTTCTTGTTCAAGAATGGAAACCTTAAGCAAGTTTGTGTCAATTTGTGCTCTAAGGGCACAAAACACGCCAATGATTTACATTCATTTTCCTATAGCTATTTACTGGAATTTCTTTTGCAGTCTATTTAAAATTAATTTCCATTCAGAATGTTAAGGTTACAACCTTTATTATATATATATAACCTTTTGGTATTGTATATGTTTAAACAGGAAATCAGTGACTAGAAGACATCTGTCTAATTACTGAATAGGATTTTAAACCATTGTATGTTTTCAAATACAAAATAGCTTGGAACCCTGTTTGGTCTACAGTTGGTAAACATCTACTGTAGATCCACTGAATCAAAACTTGCTTTTTTCCTCAGTTCATATTACAATATATCTTTTAAGAATCTTTAATTTAATCTTAACTCTTGTTAAACTTTATTAGGTAATTTAGGAAACAGATTCATTTTTAAAATAAGTTTATAAAATCTCTAAATATATAATTGCAGGCTTTAGTTTTTGTTTTTTTTAATGGAATATCAACTCCTTATGAGTCATTTAATGCTAAAATTTAATTTTCTTGGGTGCATTAGTAATTTCAAAAATGTATTGCTAGTAATTTCTGTTTTCCTTATAAAATATATTGCTGGTAAGTTTTTATTTTTTTATTTATTTTTTTTTTTTACAAAAATGTATTGCTAGTAATTTCTGTTTTCCTTATAAAATATATTGCTGGTAAGTTTTTATTTATTTTTTTTTTTTTTTACAAAAATGTATTGCTAGTAATTTCTGTTTTCCTTATAAAATATATTGCTGGTAAGTTTTTATTTTTTTTTTTTTTTTTTTTTACAAAAATGTATTGCTGGTAATTTCCCAATTATGAAAATTTATTGCTGGCACCTTCAATATAAAAATGTATTTCTACAGTACATAGTGTTTTGACCCCAATTTTGACAGTCACTATTTTCCTATAGCTGGGACCCTTACAGATGCTACTATCCTGGGTCAGGGTGGACCTGGGAACAACAGCAATTAAGAAGTGGTTCCAAGCTCCTCAAAACCTCCTAATCAGAGGCCATGCTGCTGGATGTAGTTTATTGTCATACCCAGGAGATTTAGTTTGTTACCAATGTATTTCATATGAGACTCCTATCTTCTCTTTCTTTTTCTTACTGAAACCAGTTCAAATCTCTGATGTGTCTATTGCATTATTAAATAGTTGAGATTAACAATGTAGACAAAATATTGTTATAATAATTATAAGCATGAATGGAGGTCATTATTTAAAGAAGTAAGAGGGTACAAATGAAAAGATTAAAAATTGACAAAGAGCTGCATCCACAAGGAAAGTTTTTCTCGTCTGAATCCATCTTTCATATCTACAAATCTACTATTTGTCAATCCATGGAATACTGTTGCTATATATGGTCTGGTGCCCCTGATGTTCATCTTGAGGTTCTAGACGAAGTCCAAAGACGGATATGCAATGTGATCGCTCCTGACTTGGCATCTTGACTCCAGTCAGTCTCTCACAGACATGATGTAGCTTCTCTCTGTCTTTTCTACAAATACTTTCATGGCAGCTGCTTTGATGAGCTATTTTCACTGGTGCCCCCACTGCATGAATTTAAGTGTCTACTAAGTTGGCATCTTACCCTTTTACTGTTGAAACAGAAATGTAACCACCTCTTCTACTTCAACAGCTTATTCTCTCACACTTCCCAACAGTGGAACTCCTTTCCTCTTACTTGCTCCCCTGACAACTATAATCTTAAAAAATTTAAATGTAATGTCAATTGATATCTTCTGATGCCTTGATCCCTGTTCTTTTTATCCTTTCCTCAATCCCCCTTATACCAAGTCTTTTCTTTTACTTTCACTCTCTGTAACCCTTTGCATACTAGTCGCACTCCCACCTTGCTTGGGGTGAAATGCTTATAAAAAAATTTGACTGAATCAGAGGTTAAACACATGAGAGTGTGATTGCTTCCTCTACCCTCTCTTTCTTTCTTATTATGTAGACTTTCTTTTTCTCATTAAAACCAAACAGTGTCTCTGATATTTTTCTTCTGCCTTTCCTTGCATTCAAAACAGAATGGTCCATTATTTATCTGAGGTAATGGCAGAGCATAATGCATGTGCAAATTTGCTAGCTAACATGGGAACAAGCAGAATCATAATATAATAAACTTCTTATCCTTCTATGGGCTATGTGTCTTCAGGATGTTGGCAATCATGGCTCTCCACAATTTCCTATACTATGTAGCTTTTAGTAAATTTTGTGTTATTGCTCTCTCCTAAATCCTATCCTACCTATCATTTACATAAGATAAGTAGCTTATGTGCTGTTATCTCTTCCTAATATAAAGTTTAAGTGCCCTTTCTGTTGGCATCCTTCTATAGAACCATATTTCTGTTGCTTCAAGTTTCTTCTTCATCTGTGAGGAGATTGTTCAGCATTCATTGCCATATTGCATAACAGTTCAGTACTTTATTGCAGCTATTATTAGTAGTAGTAGAGAAAAATGCCTTCCAGAAAATAAGAAATTTAATACATACATAGCTATGATTTTTTGGTGAGGCTGGACTGGGATTAATCTCACACAAAGCAAGGTGGGCTCTGCCTGATAGAGGATTTGGCTTAAAGATTTGCAGCATTATTTTACAAGGTTGGATGCTCTTCAGACATTCACAGTAGTGATTTTATTGAGACACCATCTCTCGGAAGGTTGCCATTCAAGGCTTGAGATTCCATCCTTACCATATATATATATATATATATATATATTGGCTGTTGACTCTTATAAGAAGCTCATCTACCTTTTGACATGTTTTGTTTTTCATCCTTTGCGGGGACATGCCACCCTCCTTAGCAGAAAAGATAGTGGGGGGAGCTGGTTTAGACACTAATCAGCCAGCCATGCAGCAGATTGTACTGCAGTTACCAGTAGCAGGTCTAACCCTAGCCTGTTCATGAGTAATATAAAATTTCTCATATGGCAGTGACTGTTGTGCAGTCTCCTCACAGAAGAGATTTGAAATTAGAGAGATAATTCTACTGATCAATGTTGAGAATACTATGGACAGAACATGTGAGCATTGTGGAAGTTTTAAAGACAACTACAAGAAAAGTATTAAGAGATAGAAAAACATTAGAAACAAAGAAAGGAGTATTGAACTTTTATGTAATATTGAATTTCCTCTGTGACAATGAATGCTTGAAAACAGATGAAGAGGTGATTTGGAGTAACAAAGATGTGGTTCTACTGACAAATGTTGAAAATACCAAGGGGAAAATCTGTGAGCAATGAGAAAGTTTTAAGTGAACTAGAAATTAAAAGGAAACTTATACTCACAATCAGAAAGAGCTGAAATTTCAGGGGCATACAATGACAAAAGAGTCCGGTTGAAGGCAAGAGAAGCAGGAAGAAACAACAAGTAATCTACTTTTGATGGTATGACTGGGAAGAGACAGTTTCAAATAATTTACAATCTAAAGTCTCAAGTTCAATGCAGTCACTGACATAAACAAGTCCAACATAAACACTGAATGTTTCTCATGTAATGGTCACTTCAAGATACAAAATGACTCTTAACAACCAGAAACTATTTGCCTTCATGGTTTTGTGAGCATGTGAATAATCTGGAAGGCAGACAAAAGCAGATAAACAATTTTAGCAATTCCATCTATCTCTAGGAAACTGTATAAGACTGATAGTAACCATAACAAAGATGGTAAGCCATCATTCAAGTTTTGGCTTTGAGCAACAACTGAAACCAAGCCCTTTTCATTGTTAGCTCATCCTGTGGTTTCCATTATTACTATACCTACTTAACATCTTTTGTACAAATATTTTCATGGCAATTGTTCTGATAAGCTTTCCTCCTTGATACAGTGACTGCATGAATTTAAGCATATTACTAGATTGGCAACTAGATGTCCCTCTTTTACTATCCAGAAGTAACTGTATATTCTATTCTAACAGTTTCTTTTCTTGCACTTCATGCCTATGGAATTCTCTTCCAATTTCTTGCTTCCCTGCCACCTACAATCTTCAAAATTTTAAATGCAATGCCAATCACCATCTTCTGTCTTTCTGAATCCTGTTTTTTTATTGTTCTTTCTCCTCACTTTATCTCACTAAAGTCTCATTCTCTTTCATTCCCAGTAACCCCTTGTGTCCTAGTAGCTTTATTGCCTTGCTTTGGGGAAAATAATTAAAACAAAAACAAGTTTGAGTTAATGGATGACAAAAAAGAAGAGAGAGAGATGGTAGTGATCAAAAATTACAGCAACAAAAAAGTAGGAAGTTGTGGAGAGTATGAATATCGACGTCTAGTAGAGATATAGCACATAAGACTATGAATAGGTATAAACAGTATAGTAGGAAGTAAAAATAAAATAGCAAAGAATGTAATTATTTGACTAAATTTCCATATCTGCTAATTGACTTGTCTAGCCTAATAATGAATAAAGCAACAAATCTCATCAGAAATTGATTCTTTACTTTCTATCTACGCTGTTTACTCAACAATCACAGAAGAGAAATATAATCTCAGTGTTATGATAAAAAAAGATGAAAGAAAAATTAATCCAACAATTAAATAATCGTAAACTGTTTCCAATCTGAATTGATGGGTTTTAATAATCCCAAACTGTTCCAATCTGAATTGATGGGTTTTAATAATCCCAAACTGTTCCAATCTGAATTGATGGGTTTTAATAATCCCAAACTGTTCCACTCTGAATTGATGGGTTTTAATAATCCCAAACTGTTCCACTCTGAATTCATGGATTTTAATAATCCTAAACTAATGGTTTCCATCAGAATTCATGTGTTTTAAAAATCCCAAATTGTTTTCATCTTAATTCCTGGCTTTAAATAATCTTTTTAAAAATTGTAGATATTCAGTGCCTCATGTTGATCACATGATAGGTGTTAATGTTGTATATTGAAATACTGTGCTAATGAACTGCAGACACATTCAGTCTCTCCTAGACTAAACATGTGAAACTTGCAGGTACATTTAAGCACTTCTGGTCTTAAAGGTTTAAGTTTCATATTCAGTTTGTTATTTCTTCTGATTTTTATTTTTCATATTTCCCAAAATCTAAATGATTATAGATTCAATCAAAATTTTAATCATTGTTTAACTAATATACATTTGTAATAACTGAATAGGGATTCCATTATGCACATTTTTTCTCTTGGTTAAAATTATAAAAGTTATTTAAATATAAAAAGTAAAAGATTTCCAGTTTGATGTGTTACTTTATGTACTAAATTTGATGTATAATTCTGTAAATGGATATTATTTTTGTCTTGGGCATAAATTTCCTGTATGTTTCAACCCAATATACAAGAGTGTGTGAAACCATCTTGGATGAACCCAATTCCATAAATCTAAAGAAATATCAGAATTTTTTTTCTTTAATTCTTTCTTGGTTGGATCATTAATTTTTCAGCACACTTTCATACAGTGATATATACTAGTCCATGTGTAATAGACATTCTTGGTTGGATGATAAACTACATCTGGCAGCAAGGCCTCTGATTGGGAGATTATCAGCTTTGAGGAGCATGGAACCAGCTCTTACTTCTTGTTGGTCCCAGGTCCACCCAGACCCAGGGTGGGAAGCACCTGTTAGGGTTCCAGTTTTAGGCAAATAGTGAACCCCAAAACAAAAATCAACAGTACATTTTTATAACAAAATGATAATCACTGCAACACTAAAAAATATAAAAATTCATTTTTATAGTAAAATTACCAACAATACATTTTATGATCTATAAACTATATATATAAAAAAACATGCCTTTAACCTGAAAGTAGAAAATTATGTACAAAATATCTGTAGTTGAAAGAATAAAATTACATACCATATTTTCATAGAAAGATAAGGTTTTTGTTGACAATTTACTTTATAATAGTTGACTAACTGCCTACCTTGAGTAATTACTTATAGCATTTAAATCAAAGTTTTAAAAGAACTTTGTCTATGTCCCTACAAGAGTCGATCAATTTTCACTGTATAATGTCCAATCAATGTCATTTGTGAAAAAACCTTGGGTTAAGTATAAAATATTTGGTTGGTAATTTTTTTTTTAATTTTCAGGCCATAGGCTTATCTACTTTTTAATATGTACTTCTGAAAACAAAACTATTTTCCTTAGAAAACAGACATCACTGAACAGGCAATTACAGCCCTCAGCTCCAGTAAGGTGCAACGAGTCCATCTGATTGGGCGAAGGGGTCCACTTCAAGTAGCATTTACAATAAAAGAACTCCGGGAAATGATCCGCTTACCAAAATCACGTCCAGTCCTAGATCCAGAGGATTTCAAACACCTGGCAGATTGTTTTGAGGGTAAAAATAATTCCAAGCATATATTTTGATTTTTTTTAATGCCATATTTTTTCAGGATGCAGGCAATTTTTGTTTTAAAAAAGATTCATTTTCTTTAATATCTGTGAATTGGCATGACTTCTTGGGAAAGATAGTGGAGTAGTTTCTTGTTGCCTTCTTCATGGTTTTGAAATCAGAGCTGTTCTCATAGACTGGCTGCTATCCAAGTTTAATGGCACTGAACATTTTATAAATAAAAAATTCAATTTCATCAAATGTGAAAAGAAAAACAGATTGTGTAACTACACCCAGAACAATCCTTGAAAATGAATGTAGTGACATTTGAAAGTAGTTGGGAGAAAAATATAATATAAAATAAAAGGTAAGATGAATTTTGGCAAATTTATTGATAACACAAAACAACTTATCTGAAAATCTGAAAAACTTAGTAAAAAAAATTGATAAATTGAAATTGTATGTGTGCATATATATATATATATATATATATATATATATATTACTGAGAGAAAAAACAAGAACAACATCTATTCCATACCTGAAGATGTCTGTAGGAACAGACGAAAGCTTGTAGTAAAAATAAGAACTAATGCGGCAGAAATTTATAGAAACAAGGATCTTTTCATTCATAATGGGTTGGAGGTTTTTGTATATTAATTTAATTTGTTTGCGACGATGGATTTCTCGCCAATTAAATCATTAACCTTTGCATTTGTTTTTGTGTGAATAATTCATGAATTTGTAAATTGATTGCACGTTTATCGAAATTAAAATAACTGATCCAAGTGCGACTTTTGGATAATAAGTGCGACATTACTGTAATTATTGAACAATATAGTTCATGCCACTTTGACAGAAAATTTACCAGTAAAAAAAATTCACTTATCACCATATTTGTACATGAACGCACAACTGTAAAAATTTAAAATCAAACTCAGCGTTGCTACTGCACGCTCCAAAAACAATAACTCATTTCCAATAGCATTTTCGGATACAACAATACATATATTTTCGTTGTCCTCTTATTACTGAGAGAAAAAACAAGAACAACATCTATTCCATACCTGAAGATGTCTGTAAGAACAGACAAAAGCTTGTAGTAAAAATAAGAACTAATATGGCAGAAATTTATAGAAACAAGGATCTTTTCATTCATAACGGGTTCGGAGGTTTTTGTATATTATTTTAATTGTTTGCGACAATGGATTTCTCGCCAATTAAATCATTAACCTTTGCATTTGTTTTTGTGTGAATAATTCATGAATTTGTAAATATATATATATATATATATATATATATATATGCACACATACACACACATTTATATATATATATATATATATATTTTCATTATTTCTCTCTATATATTCATTTTGCATTCTGTGTGTGTATATACATATATATATATATATATTCATTTTTGCATTCTGTGTGTGTATATATATATATATATATATTCATTTTGCATTCCATGTGTGTGTGTATATATATATATATATATATTTTGCATTCCATATATATATATATATATATATATATATATATTATATATATTCCATGTGTGTGTGTGTATATATATATATATATATATATTCATTTTTACATTCCATGTGTGTGTGTATATATATATATATATATATATATATATATATATATATATTCATTTTTTTGCATTATCTCTCTCTCTTTCTGTATATATATATATTTCATTTTTGCATTCTCTCTCTCTTTTCTGTGTATATATATATATATATATATATATATATATATATATATATAATTTAATAAAGCCATTTCATGGAGCCAGTCCTGTTGGTTATGTATATTTGGATAAGTATCACCACCAGAAATAGGATGAGCTGCACTATATTGTGGCTAGGAACTTAGTTTTCTCTTTGCCATCATTGCTCACTGGCCCAATGGTATAATGTTTGCATTGTATTGTAATTGTCCAGATTCTCAGAGAAAAGTACAAAAATGTGTGTATGTTGAGGATTCTAGGTCTAGACATGGTGAATTAGTATGAAAATTATACAAATCCCCAATTTGCTAATCAGTTTATATATATATAATAAATGTGAATGTCAGTGTGTCACTCTGTCACACTTTTTCAACTTTACTTCTAGAGGCCATAGCCCAACATATCATACCATTTTAGAAATAGGCCGGATCCAGACCTGCAATCCTGAAATTTTGGATTCCCGAGATTTTATTATTGCAATTGTTTTCGGCATGATGTTTTGTGACAAATTTTTTTCTGCAATAACAATTTTTTAAACTTGGAAATAAATTTGGGAATAATAAATAAAGTAAGGACCTACTTCTAATCATACATAGAAATAAATTCAACTCTAATTTTGATTTTAAAAATGCTACACTCATAAAAAAAGAAAATAACTCAGAAGGAAATCCTCGAGAGTGCCACTATTGATTATTATCCAAATATTAATCTACACCCAGGCTTTTCCTCTGTATCACCTTTGCTAACAGAATTACTACTCTCCCAAGCAAACGTACACAACTCTATCAAGAAATCAAAAGAAAATGGTTGAATCTGTCAACACAACAATAAAAACAATATTTCCACACGTGACAGTACTTGACATAATTTTCAGTTGACAATATGAATACAATAGCATTTTCTAAATTCTTCTAGTTGCTAAGGACATTTTGTTTTGTTACTTTGTTTTAATAAATTCATTTCGTTTTTGCCTTGAAAAAGTCCATATTGAACAAAATGCAGCGGCTAATAATACAGTTTTCCTACTGTCTTTTACATTTACACACACACACTATATATATATATATATATATATATATATGCACACATATACACACATTCTTACAATATATATATGTGTGTGTGTGTGAAAAGTGTGTGTATATATAATATATATATATATATATATATATATATATATATAATTATTTATATATTATATGCGCGGTACTTATTAGAAAGTGCTCAATATCAGAGATAGAGCTAACATATTTGGTTGGATTGATGTGAGTTTGTAACCCTGGGTTTCACGCTTTTGCGATCGTCAGACAATATATATATATTCTTACATTATATCTCTCTCTCTATATATATATATATATATATATATATATATACATACATATGTTATCTATATCTATATATATATATATATATATATATATATATATATTCTTACATTATCCACATATATATTCTTCCATCATGAAATGCCTTTTAAAAATACTTTTGAAAGAATCAAAAAACCTTTTGCTAAACTATAAAAAGCAACTACAATAAAATATTTGTAAATTTTCATATTAGGGTTGAGATTGGAAAATATTCATGCATTCAGATTCATGTTTCATCTTTGGTACTTTTAAGATATTTAAACTGATCAGCTCCAAAACATTTCATTAAATTAGTGTCACCTAGTAACTTCTAGGTTATAGCTGTAGAACAGCAACAACATGACCCTGCAGTGAAATAAAGCTTTTTGTTAAAAAGATTCCCCACTTGCAAAAAATGGAAGAGCCTAATTAATGTCAGAAACAACTCTTTCTTTTATCAAGGGAAATAACTCATTTATTCTACTGAATTGATAAACTTATCTACAGTGAAACCTAAATTTATCCATACAGTAAAATCAATAAGACATATGAATATGATAAGCAAATTTAACCACTCATTTATGATCTGGGGTTGTATGTCAGGTAAAGAAAAAGAGAGAAAGAACGCAATCATTACCTTAACAATCAATTCACAGGTGTACATCAAAATTGAAAATCTATGGTTGAAATTTAAGAAAATAGTCTATGAGAAGGTGCTATCTTACAAAGTTGAATTGAACCCCATATGTCAAAGAATTCATGCCAATATAAAAACCTGAGAAGAGGCAACAAAATACTGTTTTTTTTTTGTTTTTTTTTTGTTGTTGATGATTCCATAATTTTTTTCTCTACTTAATCTGAAAAAATGTGATTAACTTAAATATTTTGATCTAATTTGTGTGTGGCATATTTCATGAAGTCAAAGCATTCACTTCTTAAAGTCTGTTTCATGTCATACCAATGATTTATTCATTTATTGGGAAGTAAAAAAGCTAAGTAAGTGCATAATTATTACCATGGAAAGTAATGCATAGCATATAAGTTCATAAAATAAAAAGGTCATCTTCATTTTATTTTAAATTCCATTACTTTTGTGTATCTCACTCCATTTTAGATAGGATCAGAAAAATATACAGACTGATGTTCTAACACTCAAAATGTAAACTTCAATGGTACTGAAAGCTTTACATCTTCTTCCTTACACTATTTACATTGTTTGGACTGATGTCCTCACCTTTGTTGTCATATTCACAATGTTGTGGCTGTTGTACACTCTGGCTTTCTTTATGTGATATACATTGGAATTTTGAACTGAACCCTGTATTTAGTCCACAATGGTAGATTGTTCTAGTTTCACATGTCATGCTTATTCCAGATATTTCACTTTCACTTAATTCCCTTTAGTAACTCAACTCTCCAAATATTTTTGTTCATCTCTGCTGTGGTCAGGTATTGAACTCACAATATAAACCTAATGTCTCAGTAACCAATTTCTGGGAGTCAAGTCACTTTTGGATTACTTCAATCAATGCCTTGGGGACATCAGTGAATTAATTTTGGGGGTTTATAAACCTAATGTCTCAGTAACCATTTTTTACAGTACAATTTTTGTTTTTCTTTAGCTCTCTATATTACTGGTTCCCATATTGTATTCATGTCTATGCTTGCCATCTTTTTTTGTGGCTTAGCATATACACCGATTCCAGAAGTTTTTGTATTTTCCAGTGATGATCTCTATTATTTCAACCGAAACATTTTGACTATAACAAAGATGAGGACAGCAGTCCGAACAATGTGAATATTGTAAATAGTTACAATGCCTCAGAAATATAGACAGATCTTCTTCTTTATAAGCTGACTGCCATTGTTTCTTATCCATTTAAGTAAATTGCAGCCTCTGAAGTTAAAGATCATTAACAGACTTCAGTGCAATCTAGATATTGTTGACAGTTTTGTGTTTTTGTAGATTTACCTCGTCCTCGACGTCGACTGACAGAATTGCTATATAATACTGCTGTCAAACCAACAGAAGAAGATAAAAAATTATGGTCAGATGCAACACAAAAATGGTATCTTCATTTTTTAAGGAGTCCTGTAGAGATACTCAGTGATGGATCCTCTGTAAAAGGCCTCAGATTAGTCAAGAATAAATTGGAGGTAAGATTTATTGACATAAAAGTCAGTACAAAGCAATAAATTGTCTTGTATATATTAAAGACTAAGACTGGTCATTTTTAATTCTCTTGAATTCTGATGTGGGGTCTTGGTATATATCAAGTTTTCAAGGAATTAGCACATAAAATAATAGACTATTATTTAGATACCAAATGGCAATTTTGCTTTAAATAATCAGCCCTTAATAATTATATAGTGATTGAACTAAGAAAGTTCTTATTTAAACAAAGTTAACAATGCCATGACACTTCAGGATGTAGGCAATCATGACTCTCCACAGATTCCTTTTCTTTATTATCTGTAAATTGCCATGCATTCTTGAGAAAGATATTGAACTGATTTCCTGTTTCCTTCTCTTAAGCTGGTTGCCACCCAATAACAGAAAGCCCAGTCTACTCTGTGAATTAACCCATAGCTGGAGGGAGAAGAGCTGACTTCATACCTTTCCCCAAGGGCATTCGGGTGAAAGGGAATGCAACAGACTCTTCTGGAATTTGGACTTGGCCCCTACTCGCCTTTCCTTGCAAATATCCGTTACACTAACTGCTCCATATCTAATATATATGAAGTGATAAAAAGCAAGTGAAAATTAATAATTGACAGTTTTTTTCAGCTCAAAATATTTTGTTTCAAAGGGCAGAAACTGCTTCTATGTTACAAATAAAAAATTCAGGTATAGAAATCCAAAGTCATTTACTTAGTAAGGGAGATAACTCTTATCATTAAATCAGTTACTATATTGACCAACTCCACGCAAATTGGAGTTCATGGTGAAAATGATGTAGAGGCCTGATGCATTAACAGGATAGTGACTTGATAGAATATAACTTAAAATTTATTTGCTATGTACTTCAAAGGTCTTTTAAAAAAATTCACAAAAGAAGAAAAACTCTAATATTAAACTATGACAAAGACAGTCCTTACTTTTCCTTTTTTTAGCCTATAAAATGGGTTATTGCATTTCTGATGTATATTTGTATTGATTTATAATTAATTTTTAGCAGATTGATAATAATTATTATTTTTTTGACAATACTGAAGTTAATAATAAATCGTTTTTTAAAATACTGGAATAAATTATTAATAATAATTAATTTTTAACAATACTGGGGTAAATAATAATAATACATTCATTTCACGAAAAATTCCAAACAAAAAATTAAAGGGTGATAACTGTTATATCTTAATTGTTCTAATTTTTTTTTTTTTTTTTTTTTGAAATTGTGTCGTTTAACCCCCACCTTCCCCGCCAATTATCTTGGGAAAAACGTATATACACGTTAAAAACTACAGCACTAATTTAATTGTTGCTTATTTACAATGAATGATGGACATCAAGTCAGTTGGTTTATTTAAGAGGATTGTTTAATGTTGAAATCAGTTAAAACCAGGAAATTGATTGTTTTTTTCAGGCACTGTAAATAAAATATAAATAAAAAATCTATTAAAATATAAATATTAAAATAAATTAAAAGAGTAATATGAATTGATACAGAAGACTGTTTTTTAAATATTTAATTTATTTATACATTTATTTTGGATAGGACAAATATTTAAATGGGTTTGTTTTTTGTTTTTTTTTACATGTTTTTAAATATTTCTAGAATAAAACCAAAATACTAAACATTATTACATGATTGAAGACTTCAGTGTTGAATTTATGGAGACAAAGCTATTCATTATTGTAAATAAACAAGAAAATTTTAAAATAATTTTAAAAAGCACTGTTCAGATATAAAAGTTATCTCTCTTTAATTTTCTGAATTTTGATTTTTCAGTAAAATGAGCTATTTTAATGGTTTTGGTGAAGCCAGTTTTCAGGCAGATGACATTCGCTGTTATGATAGGATATGTGGCAGGCAATCTCAAAAGAAATGTCCAATCGGTATTGATGTTGACAAACTGAAAACTTCTGTTGAATCTAATTTGCTTTAAATATTTCAAATGCTTGCATTAAAGTTTAACACACACACACACACACACACAAAAAGAAACAAGACACTTGCATCTGCACCACAATGGAAAAATATATAGAGAAAAGAGTATTCTTTGAAATGGGAATAAAACAGAAAGTTAAGAAACTTCTTTAGTTGCCTCATATAATCAAGATATTATGAATATTATCAATAAAATATCTTTCTCTATTTTTTTTTTCTAGGGATCAATAAAAGAGAATCCAAAAGCTGTTTCAACAGAGAAAACAATTGACTTGCCTTGTGGGATGGTAACTATCTTTTATTTTTTGTTTTCTCTATATCAGATCAGGTTTGGGTCATGCTTAATAGTAACCCATTACAACCTGTCACATTACAACCAGCTCCCCCACTATCTTTTCTGCTGGTAGGGAGGGTAGCATGTCACTCCACAAAATGAAAAACAAAACCCTGTCAAAGAGTGGATGAGCGAGCACCCAACATGAGTGTGTGTGTGTGTGTGTGTGTGTGTGTGTGTATAAAGTGGACATTGAAGTCAAGGCAACAGTCTGTTTCATGCTAAATGCAATTATCAGCAATGTCCACTTATATATTTACATACACGCTGTCCTTGATATTGAGCACATCTTAAAAGTATATTTCATCATATATATGGGATAATGATATATAAAGTTTTATACATCAAGAACAATTTGGGGCAAAAGATGTGGGAAAAAGATATAAAAATGTTTAGAGAGTGCCTTGATCACTAGATCCTTCACAATAAATTTGTACTCAGGCTTTACAACATTTCAGAATTCCTGGCAGCTCTTCTATTATCACAGTGTGGGATATCTAGTAACAAAAATGCTGGAAACAAAAAGAAAAAGAATTTAAATGAAACTGGCTGCATTATATACTCAAAAGAAAAAAAAAAGAAAAAGAATTTAAAATTTAGAATTCCCAGCATCTCTCATTCTTGCACAAATATAGTCAGACCAGCATAAACAAATTTAGTCCAATGAAGTCCTGAAGGACAACACATGTCACACAAAAACTTTTTTTTTACTTTGTCATACATCTTTCCCCCATATATACATACATATATATATATTATGCAATGGACAAAGTCCAACAATTATTTTAAGACATTTTATGTTTATGCATTCTTTTTATAGATACAAATATTTAAGTAAATGCTCTGTTTTTTATAATAAACAGTATTTTTAACATTTACCGTCCTGAATGTCTGAGAAATTTTCATAGAATATATTCATCCTCTGACAGGAATCAAACCCGTATCCTATACGGAACCATCATTTAGCCTGACATGCTCTTAACTGATCGAGCCACAGAGGATCGGTCGATTAGCAAGGTCAAATTTACTGCCTTTAAACTTCAATCTTCCATGAATCTTTCACGTACATTCATATCTGCTCAAAGCATATCCAAATGTAAACAAATGACGTCACACATTATGAAATGGACAAAGTCAGACAATTATTTTAAGACATTTTATGTTTATACATTCTTTTTATAGATACAAATATTTAACTAAATGCTCTGTTTTTATAATAAACAGTATTTATAACATTTACTGTCCTGAATGTCTGAGAAATTTTCATAGAACATATTTGTCCTCCGGCAGGAATCGAACCTGTATCCTATACGGAACCGTCATTTATATGAATGTATGATATGAATGTATGTGAGAGATTCATCAAAGATTGAAATTTAAAGGCAGTAAATTCAACCTTGCTAATCGAATGATCTTCTGTGGTTCAATCAGTTAAGAGCATGTTGTTTTTGTATGGCTTAATGTTCATATTAGTTATATACGGAACTCCTTGGAGAATTTAAATCATCAAATTTTTTTCCCCAAACAGAATCCCCAGTTAAAGGAAATCTGCTCAGAATTGTAAAATAAAAACATACAATAAAACTAAGATATTATTTAATTAAAAAAGCTTTACTTTTTTTGCTGGCTCAATAAAAACACTTGGATTACTGTGAGTGTCTGAGTTGGGCTTCAGGAAGAGCATCCACCCTTTTAAAACCTAGCCTCAAAACATTATGACAAATCCTTTGTCAGGCACCTTGCTGTGTGCAAGATTAATCCCAGTTCTGCCTCAAAAAAAAAAAAAAAAAAAAAAACAACACTGCCATCTATGTATGTAAGTATGTTTCTAAATTTATCAGGATTTAACAGAATTATATCTTCAGCTTTTCATTCCTTTCCTAAGTTGTATGAGTTAAATTTCTTTCAAGATTGTGGTAGAATTGTTCAGTAAGCTTTAATAAACTCTGTATATCAACAAAGTTCTTCTGAATATATGTTTTCAGGACAGATCCATTAATGGGGAGATGGATCATACCGCAAAGATAACTGTTTACATTTCTTTTTTCTTCCTTGAATCAGATCATGACCAGCATTGGCTATCAAGGTATTCAACTTGATCCAGATTTGCCATTTGACCACAGCAAAGGAGTTGTCTCCAATGAAAATGGCCGAGTGACTGGAATTCCTGGTAAATTGTTTTTTGTTTTAATTAATCTTTGATTCAAATCAGATCAGATCCATTCACATATTTGATTAGTCTTTCCTGCCTGGCATCTTGAATAACTACTACTATTTTAGTAGCAGATATTGCAAAAAGTCCTTTAGTATAAAGATTTTTTTTTCAATATCTTTATACTAAAAGACTTAGGTTGGAAAGAAATTATATGATAATGGTTGCTGAAAAGTCAAAGCAACACAAAGAAGACATGTCGTCAACTTAACAACTGTTTTCAAAACTGTCACTGGGTCCATTTTGCTCCCCGCATTCCCTAGTGGGGCCGGAAGTGTTTACAATCATCATCATAATCAACATTATTGATACTGGAAATAGCAAACCAACAGATTAACAGTAAAAAATAAATAAGGGGAACTACTCTGTACTAACTCAAACAAGAATTACAATTTACCCACCATGGTGGTGTTGGTTTATAGCTAAAATTTAAAGTTAGCTTTATATGTACTATTAATCTTTAACCAGCAGCAGTCTTGTTTCAAATATTTCTTGTTTTTTTTTTTTTGTTTTTTAACATATGATGAGGTGCTGTAAAGTTCTTGGCTTGACTAAAAAGTGATTTTAAAACAAAATTTAATCTTTGGTCAGATTTTGGGAAGTGGGTCAGTTCAAGAACTTTTCAGCACACTCTTGAGCATGCTTATAATTTAGAAAAATTATTTTTGAAATAAAAGATTAATGACATTGCATAAAATATTTTTATTTTTATATTAAAATTTTAAGTACTTTTTCTTTTTTATATATGCAGGTAGAATGTTCTTGTTCTACTGCCCATGTCTAGGGATATCTCATCTAGTTCTTATTTTTAGTACTGCTCAGTTATTGCTCACCTTGTTTCCATGAAGTCCAAATGTTTGATGACATTGTGAGTTCAATCCCTGGGCCGAGCAGTGTGTACTTTGATTCAATGGAAACAGAGTACAGTACTAAAAATAAGAATTAAATGAGATATCCTTAGATATGGGCAGTGGAACGAGAACAGTTTACCCCCATAGATCAAATAAAGGATTCAGTTTGGAATTCCCTGTAGGTTATCTGGATTGATATACAGCCCAAGAGCACAATGGCCAAAACGTCGTGATAACAACAACAAAGATGGACAATAATTTGCATGTAAATAATAACTCCTCATCCCTGAAATCCAGACAGTAAAAATTCTCAGTATTTAACTTTCAAAGGATTATTCATTTTCAAATTGGGCATGTGGCTGAGTAGTTAGAAAGTGAACTTTCTAACTTTGAAACCTCGATTCAAATCTCACCATGCCTTATTTGTCAGGAAGGTAACTTCTTGATGTTATCAACCTGGGGGGGGGGGATCCTAGTTTGTTGAAACTGTTGATCATGCCAGATAATCCACTCTCTCCAAGAAACTGTAACTAAGGTCCACTCAGCATAGTTGCAGTATAAACCACAGGTGGGTTCTGTGGATGTTTAATAAAGACAAATGTGTCTGAGCAGGGGTCTGCAACAGGGATTGTCTAACAGACAGGGATACTCGATAATACAAACAACCAGTCATTACATTACAGTTTCAAATGATTCACATTATCAATAGTGTATACAAATTTTATTTAAAACCATAAGAGATGAAAACACATTTAAACAAGATTGAAAAAAAATTTTATTTTGATAACTTTGAATCTTTTCTTATCTGGTAATCTGTTTCTCTCTTTTAGCATTTGTTTTTATTACATTTTCAAAATCTACTGTTTTTTTAATAACCCTGTATATTCATATTGTATATGCAATCTATTTTAACTTCCATAACCTTCCCTATGATATAAGTACAATTAAACACTGATGAAAGACTATTCAGCTTTTACTGAGCCAAACAACATTATTTTGTCAAAAAATGACAGCAATATTTAATTTTTTGAAATTAGATTGTTTTGAATTGCATTATAGTTATAAAAGTTGAAAAACTTGTTCTGAACCTACTTATTTAATAACCATGACAATAAATCTTCTATGTTGATTCCAATCTGGTTGAAATAATTGTTAAAAACATCCCTTCCCCAAATTTATAGACAAATCCTACAGATGCATGCTGGGATTTCTTTCTAACCAATAAAAATGCATAATTCTTGTGGGTGATAGTGCCTGTTAAGTTCCCGGCTATGGGCAAATAGTGAGCTCCAAAAATCAAAAAATACATTTTCATAGCAAAATGACCAACAATACAACACTAAAAAAGTATAAAAATACATTTTTATAGTGAACTTACTAGGGATACACTTTGTCATCTACAAACTATATATCTAAAAAACATACATTTACCTTGAAAGTATAAAATTATTTACAAAATATTTGTAGTAGGAAGCATAAAATTACATGCAAAATAATTAGATTTCAGTATTAAATAACCTATAGAGGTTATAAATGATATATAAAGTTGTACAAACAAAAATGTATTTATATCTATGTATATATCTTTTTGTATATGTGGAAATGTTATTATATTTGTGTATACATTTGTATTATATTTATAATTTTGTAGTCAGAGGTATGTAAATGTGTGTATATCTGTTTTTGTTTGTTTGTTTATTTACTTATTTTATTATTTAATATTATAATTTTTTTATTTACTTATTTATAATTATTATTTTTACTACCTCTCTCCATAAATAAAATGGACTGCTCCCTATCTCTATAATATGATTTTTATATATATATATATATATATATATATATATATATATATAATGCAATGGTCAGTTTTCATTCGATATCTAACAAGTGCATTGAGCATGGTACTCAGAGTTGTGCTACTGGTGAAGAAAAAAAAATGTATATTTATCATTATTATAAATTATATAGCTATGTTATTATACACTATTTTAGTAGCACCAGCACTCAATGGAGGCACGGTGGAGTAATGTATAGTGGCTTGGATTGAGGAATCGGAGAGCCGAGTGCAAATTCCAATTGAATCCATTACATTCACTTATGTGTTAATACCTTTGGGAAAGGTGTGAATTCTCTTCTTCTCTCTCCAGCTATGGGTAAATAGCAGGACAGACTGGGTTCTATAGCCTTGAATGGCAACTGGTCTAGGAGAAGGACAACTCTGAATTCAAAACTTGCAAAGGGTCGTTTGGGGACCCTGTGGCATGTAGTGCACCAAGTCTCTGTATTCGGCCCTTCAAAAAGTGTGGATGGTTCTGCACAAAACCTTCACCACTATAATCAAATCTGCTGGTGTTGGGCTGTCAGTTTCCTAGGAACTGATCTGCTTCCTCCTCATATGTCGAATTTGATGAGAGAGTTGAGTATATATATATCTATATCTCTATCTATAAAAGACAGGATGCGTGTGTGTGTGTGTAACGAATGCACAGCTACAATTTTTGATGGATTTGCACCAAAACTTACATGCACATGCTCCAAGCAGGAAGGCCAAGACTCCCATTGATAGTGGAAATAATCAATTTTTTTTGCTTCTATGACAGTTTTCATGTAGTTTGCGGCCATTTTGTACTGGTCAGCATGAGAGCCAACAGCTGACTGACATGAATGTTAACTAGCATGTAGCATGCAAAAATAATCCATAGCTGCATTCGTCACAAGTGGGAAAAATTTAAACCTGCATGGCACTTTACTCCAACTGGCTCATTCACTTGCTTAAACTCAACGTTGATTCTGATTCCGCAGAACTGGGTTGGGTGTGAAAAAAAATATTTGTTGTTAACATTCTTTTTTCATTTGGTTTTTCCAGTTACAAGTCCTTTTTTAAAGCTGATCGTTTTGTGTTCATTTTGTTTAGTTCTTTTTTTTCGTAACAGATTTAATGTTTAGTATAGAGCTTAGAAAAAAATTTGCAGTGTGAGATAGGCAAGAAGTAAGGCATGTAGCAACATCAGCACGGCAAAGGGCACTCCTTTAAAGGCAAGGAAGGGCAAAAATATTTTAAGTCAAGTGATAGTGATTGCTGTATGAGTTGTACGATTTTTTAATCAAGCACGGACAACACTGCTAGTATATATATAATGGTTGGCTACTCATTTCTGAGCAAGGATGGCTAGCAAATCTCTATATTTTTTTTAATCATTTCACTCCAAGCAAGACGATAAAGCTACTAAGATGCAATGTGTGGCTGAGAATGAAAAGACTTTAGTGAAGAGAAAGGACAATATAGCAACAAGGTTCAGGAAGACAGAAGATGGCGATTGACCTTACATTTAAATTTTTGAAGATTGCCATTTTTTTGCTTCCGTGGTATCTACAGAGAGTTACACAGGTGAAAAAAGAAACTATTAGAATAAGACTTAACAGTTACATCTAGCTATTTCAACAGTAAAAAAATGCTAGTTGCCAATCTAGTAGCACATTTAAATTCATGCAGTCGAGGTACCAAACAAGAGAACTCCTTAGAACAACAGCCATGAAAATATTTATAGAAAAGACAAAGTTGTGAGATGGTGACAGAAGTCAAGATGCCAGGTCAGGACTGATAACGTTACAGACCCTTCTTTGGATTCAACACCATCCCTTGCACAGATCAACTTGTTCTTCCTCCTGTTCACCTGGTTATCTCTGAGCCACATTTGTTGGCAGCTAATACCATAAGGACAGCATTTTTTTCTTCATTTCCTTTGTTACATTGGAAACTGCTATGTTAATGCACTTAATATGCCTGAAAGAGAAATAAGTATGCTAAAATTAGGTGCATCATATGTAATGTTACGTCATTTTCTATTTATAGCCTGCTAAATGTGTGATCTCAAATACCTGATATATTTTGTATATATCAGAGCACTTAAATAAAATTAAGTTTCAAATAGTTTTTTTCTTCACTGAACATTTTTTTTAGCTTGCTCGAAAAATTTAAATCATATATAAGCATTAATGCATAAAACATACAGTTTTTTTTAATCATTTCACCCCAAGCATGACAATAATGCCTCCAAGATGCAAGGGGTTATTGGAAGTGGAAGAAAATCACTTTAGTAAGGAGAAAGGACAATTAAAAAACAGGATTCATTTACACTGTAGGTGGCAGGAAAACATGAAAACTGAAAAATATTTTCCACAAGCAAGAAATTAAACTCTTAGAATAGAACTTATGGTTATATCTAGAGAATTCAATAGTAGAAGGATGATGCTTAGTTGCCAATCTTGTAGTATGATTAAATTCATACAGTAAAGGTACTAAGAAGGCGAATTTATTAAAACAACTGCCATTAAAATATTTATAGAGAAAGCCAGAGGGAAGCCACATCATGGTGGTGGTAAAGTGACTGAAGTTGAGATGCCAGATTAGGACTGATAATATTACAGACACTTTTTTGGATTTATAAATATATAAGTTTGGTTTAACTTACAAAAGCACTTTGTTGTTTCGTTTTTTTATAGTTTGGACTATTTTCTTGGTTTCTGGTGAAAGTTTTAAATATAAATTGTTTAATGTCTGAATACTTTCATCCTTCATAAACAATTATCAAAAAGTGTTTTTTTGTTTTGTCAGTTTCATTGTTTCTCAAATATCACATCTTCATGTGTGTTGGAAATTAAAATATTAAGTTGGTCAGAATGTCCAGACTCACTTATGAAGTGGAAATTATTTTGTAATTATTTTTTAATGTCCTTTTAAAGGTTTATACTGCACTGGTTGGGTGAGTCGTGGGCCATTGGGAGTCATCTTGAACACAATGACAGATGGCTTAGATACGGGTAAAATGATACTGCAGGATTTGAAGTCTAATCTCCTGGAAACCAATAAGCCTGGCAAAGAAGCAGTAATTAAACAATTAAAAGAAGCTGGTAAGTTCCACTTTTGTTTTGTTGTGTTGAATTTTAAAAAAAATTTCTGTTTTTTTTTTTTAATAAATTCACCTCCAAGCAAGGAGATAATGCCACTAAGATGCAAGGGGATGCTGGTAGGGAAAGAGAATGAAAAAACTTTAGAAGGAATCAGAGACAAGGGATAAACCTTTATTCCTTTTCAAAAGACCATGGAGGAGTGTGAACTGGGTGATAGGTGAACCTATCTACTCTTATTGAGGAACAATAAATAAATAGTAAATAAAATTTCAGAGTTTAGACAGTCATTAAAAGTATGGAATTGAAGTAGACTTTAGAAGGAGCAGAAACAAGAAATAAACCTCTGCTCATGTTCAAAAGACTGGGGAGGGAGTGTGAACCAGATGGTAAGCAAACCTATCTACTCCTATTGAGGAAAAATAATTAAATAGTAAATAAAATTTCAGAATTTAGGTGGAGACATTAGAAGCATAGAGTTGAAGTAAACTTTAGAAGGAACTGGAAACCCAATCCTAAACAAGAAACAAGTGTTAAATCTCTATTCTTGTTCGACAACCACAATGGAGTGTGAACCAGATAAGCAAATCTATCTGCTCTTATTCATAATAATTGTAATTATTCTCTACTCTGTGGCACCATGCATAATTAGAAAACTGAAAAGAGATATTCATAAATATATGATTTGTTTTTTCGGTTTGTTAACCATTTGATAATTATTTAGAGCTGAAAAATATTTCGGGGTTAGGAATAATTCTTTCTTTACATTCAGGCGATCTGGGAGAAAGAAAGAAAAGAAAAAGAAGGAAAGAAAGGAGAAAAATAAATAATACGAAACCAGGTCGTAAGCGAAAACACACATGCTCGACTGGCACATATCAGATGTCAAAAATATCAGGTCAAGCACCGACCTACTTCCGTGTCCGCGGAGGATGGGAGTTTGTTATCAATTTGGTTGAAGAAATAAAAGTTTAGAGACAATGGAAAAAATATGATAGGTAACAGATGGGGAAGTTTATCTAAGGATATACAGACAATCCATTAATACGAGAACCAGAATTGAAAATACAGTCACACAGGATGATGATTAGAAAATGCTTTTTTTTTTTTTGAGATAATTAAGATTCTGTTGTCAAGCTCCGAGCGAAGGGAAAAAGTGAAATATTTTTATTAGTTCACGTTAACGCCACCCAGGGTGATGTTGCTTTTTGAGATAATACAAATTTTTATTATCGGCCGGGGAGAATGAAATATTTTGTTGCGTTCAGAGAAACGCCGACAGGTCTAGGAAATTCTTTTCTTAGATTGTATCCAATTAGCGGTAGGCTGTTTGACAGATACCGCGATGAAGGAAGCCGAGGGCGTCATTTCGGGTCACATACGAAAGGGACAGTTTAAGTTTTTGTTTTTTTTCGAGCAAGGTGTTTCTCCCCCAGAACAAAGCCACGGATTGTCCACGCCTGATTAAAGATGTCATGAAGGAAGGAGGAAAGATAACCGACCAGAGCTTCATTGGCGGGCGGTCACATGATACATGAGGGAGGAGGAGAGACACCCGACCAGGACCCCATTGGCGAAGCGGTCATATGATGTGCGAGGGAGGAGGAAAGATGCCCGACCAGGACCCCATTGGTCGAGAGCAGTCACCTGACATACGAAGGACCAGGGAAGGGGTATACGCCCCCCCGAGGCACAGTAAGGAAGTAGGAGGAAAGTAAGTTACCAAAATGGAAAATCCCTAATCAGAAATAATACGTCTTTAGAATTATCAAAAAACCCCTGGCGCCGACAGACCCACCCCGGTTTCTGACTGCCTCAATAAAAGCGGGACCCCAACTGACAGAAATCTGTTGCAGCGCGGACAGCGGGCCCTGTTCATTCGCCCCTTTGCGGGCAAGAAAGGCCGGTCCGTTTGGCCCGGACAGGCAGAGAAGTTGGAGTGGCCCGGACAGGCAGAGAAGTTGCAGCGCTGACGGCGGAGATGAGTGGACAATAATTCAGACTCTGAAGCGAGAGTTAGTTGGAGTTACAAAAGTGGACGGGCGGGCCCTGTTCATTCGCCCTTTGCGGGCAAGAAAGGCCGGTCCGTTTGGCCCGGACAGGCAGAGAAGTTGGAGTTGCAGCGCGGAAGAGAAGAGTTAGTTGCAGTGCGGACGGCGGGCCATGTTCATTAGTCCCCTTTGCGGCAAGAAAGGCCGGTTCGTTTGGCCTAATTAGAGAAATTCGTCCAATTCAAATCGAAGTGAATAAATTCGTCCAACCCAAGCCGAAGTGAATAAGATCGTCCAAGAGAAGCCGAAGTGAAGCAGCCCGTTTGGCCTAAGTGGAGAAGTTGGAATCAAACTGAAGTGAAGAAATTCGTCCCACCCAAGCCGAAGTGAATAAGCTCGTCCAACCGAAGCCGAAGAGAAGAAGTTAATTTGCGCACTGACAGCGGAGATGAGTGAACAATAATTCAGACTCTGAAGAGAGAGTTAGTTGCAGCCATGGACGGCGAGAGAAATCAGCCGTGAACGACAGGTAGAGATCAGCGCCCAGTGTTGAAACCAAACCACACCCCGAAATGCAAATTTCTAGAGAGCAAGCAACTCAAAGCCTTAAAGTTGTATGGTAGAAGCTTGGTGCCACGGTCCACAGAACGGGTCGGGAGGTAGGAATAATCTTGTGTAACGAACAATTAGTTATAAAGGGTTGTTACCTTTTCCTTCAACATTTTTGACCTTGTGAGTTTTTTATTTTTCTTGTGTGTTATCACCCCCGTTGGACTCAGCTTGCATACAGCCCAATCCCTGTTTGATCCTGTCTGTCTAAGATCTAATCACAACGTGGGTAGACAGACCGAAGATCAGTGTAGTTACCCTGGTAACCAGGCGTTGGAAGCGGGTTGGGAACAGCGAGGCTGGTATTCATCTAGCCAAAGGGTTAGAACGTCACACTTGGAGCAGCGAGGAGCGAACAGCTGGCGTCGCGAACGGGATCGAACGACACAGTCGACGCTGCGACCAGGGGGGACGACGTCACAACTCTATACAATTGATTGCTACTAAGAGAGCATAAGTTATCAATGGTACTCCAATACCCCTTTGGTTTGGTTTGAAAGGGAAAAAAAATTAAATGACAGGGCTTACCATGGTGACATACAATGATCAGAAGTTCTTTGAACTAACAATTTTGATTTTTTAATTCCTTCTTTTATTTCTATGTGGCTCAGAATGAGAAATAGAGAAACCCGTGTTTAAATTCCACTCTAGTTTATTGCATTCATTTCTGCACAAATACCCTTAGGAAAGGTATAAATTCATTTCCTCTTAACAAATACCCCTTGGAAAGGTATGAATCCATCTTCTCCCCATCAGGTATGAGTTAATAGTAGGATTTGTATCTGGAAAAATCATTGAGGGCACAATGGCTGAAACATTGTGATAATAACAATGAGGACAACAGACCACTTAATAAAATCATTGTTGTTCTCAAAAAATTGTCAATGCAATATTTACTTATAAAAACAGAATTATTTTTACAATCCAAAATATGTTTCAATTTTAAATAAACCACTGTATAAGGAAATATCTGAAGTTTCTTTTGTCATAAAAATTACATCAACTTTACTTTTGCACTGAATCTTTCTCTTTGTTTTGAATAAACAAAATCTCTATACCAAGATGTATACTGGTTAAGTGGTGTGTGTTATATACACACACACACTACTATGGTGGTAGTTATACCAATGAATATATTTTCAACAAAATGATACATGAAATAAATAATTGGCTGGGGAAAAAAGGCCGGTCTTTTGTTAACAATGTCTACGTTTCTGAACAAAGAAAAGTACAATTTATTGACTAGTTGGAAAGAAGCACTTCCTGTTAGGGATGTCATCCTACACATGGCCAAAGCAAGAGAAATCACATTGATTTCACTGTTATAAATTACCTTACGACAAAAGTAATTGTCTCATTTTCATATTCTATACACATCATAACTGTATTCTGCCATTGACAATCCCTTCTTGATTTTCAATATACAACATACAGACTAGGTACTAAAATGTGCTCAAAAACATTTTAGGAAAAAAAAAAAAAAATTTCAAAATTCAAAGATTATTTATGAAAATTTCTTCCTTATTGCAACAAATAGTTAATTAGTGCAGAAAATAAGTAAAACTAAATAGAGAAAGCTACAGTAGTCGTAAAGTAAGTGATAAGAAAAGCTAAAATCTTGTTTACATCTCCTGGATTCAAATATGGAAGGTACTAAAATACAATCTCACTTTTCCCAAAGTGAAGGAAAGCTTTGATGTATTAATAAAACATGAATGATATAAACAATTTAGAAATAAATTCTATATCCACTTATTAACCATGAACCAAAATAGTACAAAAGGTCAGTTGGATACAAGAAGAAATGGAAAACTGTTTTAGGACTTGAGTTTCATATAACTAATACAACAGCTTAAGTTTAAATTATTTGTGATTACTAGTGGGAATTTGTAGAAATTCCACAGTGCTTTTCTAATTTTTCTCATTGGAGTCTTGTACAATGGTAATCTTGTATTGCCCATGCAAATTCCTCTATTTTATTGCTAATATAAACTCTAAACACTTTACCTAGTTATTTGCATCAGGTCATTGATATGAAATAATGAAATTACAAAAATAGTGTTTTGTTGCCTCAGCATTTTTCCAAGAGGTTTTTATGACATCTATGCCCTTTAATAATATAGAGAAAATTCCAGGGTTTTTCTAACTTTTATTACTGTAACTAATCATATTGTGCTGGTATATTTCATATTGTTATACCATTTCACTGAAGCAGACGTTAACTACACAAGTTTGTTATTGCTTACTCTATCTTCCCTTTCTTTCTAGAAACACACCAACAGTGCACCCCAGAATGAGGCTTGCTGGAAAAAAAAAATGAAACAGGGTGCTGCTTCACCAAGAAGTGTGATTAGGAGATATACAATCTAAATTTGTGGTCAGGGGACAGGCAAGCTATTACAGGGCATAACATAGTGCTAACTTACACAGCATTTTCCAAACTTTTTTTTTTTTTTACTGCAACCCAAAGCAAGAACCACATTTTGCATGGCAACCCATTATCCGTACATGTAGTAAATCAAAGACAAATTCTGTTCACTAGGATCATTTATATGTATATTTCTTATGACCCACACATATTGGAATTGTATATAACTAATTGTATTATCGATTTGTATGAATATAAAATTATTACTTTTAGAATAACATATTTAAAGGAAATCCCATCACTCAGTTTGCAACAAGTTTGATGAACAAGATACATAAACTCAATGAGAACAGACTCTCTCTCTCTCTCTCTCTCTCTATATATATATATATATATATATATATAAATAATTATATTTAAAAAAATAAATATGAGCTTACCTCTGTGAAAAACTAGTGATAATTTCTGAGTATTGTGCAACATTTAGAATTGTTTATATTCTGCACTTTGTTCTCACATGCATATTTTGTTTTCTTTCTTGTCATGAACTATTTTATTTATCTCAGGACCCACAATTTGAAAAACCCTGTAAGATATGATTTTTATAAACACCTGTCATCCAGTTGCTTACGACTATTTGATGCATCTGTAAAAAGAGAAGTGATAAATTGAATTGATTTACCCATCTAGAGTACAGAATTGTAAGCAGCAGAAATTAGTTTTATATGCATATATTGTGCACTAGAATGTTTCCTCAGTGATGTCTGTTTTGGAGTCGGAGAAAGTTTTGGGCTTCAGACTTTGTCTCTCATGAGCAATCATTGTCTCTCCGAGAGCAATCATTTCTTGACTAACATTCTGGTATAACTTCTGAATGATTGCAAAAATTGTAATAATATTTGTGCCTGCTCAAAATAACAACCTATGCTGTTATAACTTATAATTCTTTTATCTATGTAAAAAAAAGTAATGTTTGGTACATAATTCTGTTGATATTTTTATGTGAATATCATTAAATGATTGTGGAAGTAACTTTCTTTTCTTTTTTTTTTTTTTTTTAGGAGTTCAGACGGTGTCCTTTGATGACTGGAAAAAAATAGATTCTATTGAAATGTCTCAGGGCAAATTAATAGGAAAGCCACGAGAAAAAATGGTTGTCATTTCAGAAATACTGAAACTTGTAAATGGCTCTTGATGATCAGCACAAAGTGGAAGATTATTTTAATAGAGAATTAAAAAAAAAATAATTATAAATATTGTTTTTGTATTATTTATGTTCATTTTTTTCTGCCTTGAATTAGTATATTATATACAAAAAAAAACAAGAAAACTAATTCATTTCTACTGCTCATTCTTTATTTAAAATGCAAGCTCTGGTAACCTTATATATATAGTTAGTGATTAAGTGTATGTGATTTTTTTTTTAAACATTTCACCCCAAGTAAGGCAATAAAGCCACTAAGATGCAAGGGTTAGAAGTGAGTGTTAGAAAATACAAGAAAAATATACTATTAAGGAGAGTGGACACTAAAAGAACAACAATTAAGAAGATAAGATAACAATTGACATTGCAGATAAATTTTTGAAGCTCAAAGTTAACAGGGAAACAAGAAACCAGAAGAGAGAAGTGCAAGAGAAAAAATTGTTAGCATAGAACTATATAGTTACATGCAGCCATTTCAACTGTAAAATTATAAGACCTTGCTACCAATCTAGTACTGTGCTTAAATTCATAGAGTCTATGTACTATAGATGAAAGTTCATCTGAACAATTATCATGAAAGTATTTATAGAAAAGGTACAGAGAAACTATATTACAGCATTAGGAAAGTGACTGAAGGCAAGATGTCAGGTCAGGGACAATAACATTGCAAATACTTCTTTGTATTTTATCAAGCATCTCTAAATATATAGCAGGAGCACCAAACCAGATGTGGCAACAATATTCAAAATAAGGATGAATGGTAGTTTTATAAATATGTAAGATAAATTCTGGCAAGAAAAATTGTCTCACATGACACAATGAACCAACATTCCTTGCTGCAGACTTAGCAATTGATTCAATATACTCTTTCCACTTCATATCAGTGGAAATGTTTGTATGAGAAGGTGCTATGTGTCACTCTTCTGGAGGTTAGCATTAACCATTTTGATGGAAGGTAAAAAGCAAAACAAAAAAGTACCTATACATATATGACCATCTGTCCATTCCCTGAATCAAGAGTGGAATTTATATACTTAGAAAAGAAGAAAAATATATGATACCTCCAAGCATGGACAGAAGAATGAGACAATTTCCCCTGTGAATTGAATAATGGGCTCAGTTTGAAATTAATAAAAGATTAACAATTATAACAGGTACCTCAAGAAAAACTGAAAGTCCAACAGTTAAAATCTAGTCACTTTAACAACCAAGAAGTTAAATCCGTGTATAATCTTCAATACTATTATTGTCCTTGTTTGTATGTGTGACTGTTATACTTTTTCTAAATAGGATTTGAGTTTAGTAACTACCAAATCCTGGCCATTTCCACTGGGAACCAGTTAGGTTTTAGAAACTTAAATAATAATATTAAGCAGTAAGAAATTGGAAAAATGTGGGTGAGGTGGGGAAAAAGATAAGAGGTAAGAAAAATAAAGAAAAAAATATTATACACGCAGTATATTCACACACACAAGGATTTGCTTGATAGCTGGGTATCAAGAGACAATGAGTGAAAGATGAAAAAACAAGTAGAGATAAAAAAAAATAGTTGGAAAATTCTTGATGTAAAGCTAGAGTAAAAGAGAGTACATAGGTGAAAAATATGCATTCCTTAATTCAATATGAAACTAATCCTTGCTTGTAAAATATTTAGATACAAATTAGATGAGAAGATAAAGACAATAGTTGCTGTTAATACAAGTGGAATAATAATGAATACATCAAGAATAAAAATGATCCACTGAATTTCGTAACAAGATTTTTTTTTAATCATTTCACCCAAAGAAGGCAATAAAGCCACTAAGATGCAAGAGATTACTGAATGTTAGAGAATATAAGAACAACTACTATTAAGGAGTGAGTACAATAAAAGAATAAGAATTAAGAAGATATAAGATAGCGACTGACATTGCATTTAAGTTTTAGAAGACCAAAGTTGACTGTGATGCAAGAAGCCAGAAGAAACTGTTAGTATAGAACTTACAGTTGTGTCTAGCCATTTCTACTGCAAAATAATGAGACCTTACCACCAATCTATTACTGCACTTAAATTTATAAAATTTAGGTACCATAGAACAAAGTTCATCAGAACAATTACCATGAAATCTTACTTATTATAAAACGCAGATTGTGTGTGTCTGTACACACACACATATATTGGATTGGATTTCCTACATTTTTAACTGATTTCAAAACTTCACAGGATTACGTAAAATTACCTTGCGGTGGTTCTGACAGTGCCAAAAATTGGAAAAGCACAATTGTTTTTGCATGAAATCAATTTGAAAACACGATTAAGAGGCATCACTATCGAGAATGAAAGGGGGACAACTCATATCGAGTTATACTTATTATAAAACCCAGGTTGTTTGTGTGTGTGTTTGTTTGTTTATATATGGGATCGGATTTCCTACATTTTTCAACTGATTTCAACAAAACTTCACTTTTTTTTGGCAGGTAGTGTTTCTTATTGTCTTGCATACTTTTTTCTTTATTTTTACATTCAGAATGCTTTAAAAATTCCATTTACAAGACAATTGTTTATAATAAAATTCTATTCAATCAATAGACTCATAACGATTGAAAAAACTAATTAAGACATGCGTGTCTGTCAACCTTAAACAATAATCTTTGTCAATTTTATTTTTCAGTCTTTATGATGGTCGATACTTGATCTCTTACTGTTACATCCCTGGGCAACGCCGGGTTCTACTGCTAGTTATTTATAAAAAAGACAAGCTACATTATGGTGGTGAGAAAGTGACTGAATCTGAGATGCCAAGTCAGGACCAATAACATTGCAGATTTTTCTTTGCTATCTTACCATAAGTTAAAACATAAATCAATAACTTAAAGGCTTCCAATCCTTTCAGTACACGGGCCACATTGTATATTTTATGTATGTCAAATAAAAAAAAATTAAAAAAAATCAGTTTTATAAATGAATAAGTTTTATTTTGATCATTTTTTTTTGTCAACATGATATAATATTTTTATATATTAAATATCCCACATTGTGATAAGAGAAGATCTGTGAAGAAAAGTGAAAGTTGTAAGAACCTGGACATAGGTTTACCATTGATGAACGTCTAAGTTTTTACATCTCACCTTTCTTGGCAGAACTTCTATTGTCACAATGTTGGATATTTAATAACAAAAGTAATAAAAACATAAACAAAAAGAAACTACATGATATCAGCTAAAATATATATCCAAAACACATTTAAAAAAAATTTAAACTTAAAATTTAAGCATCCCCTTTTCTTTGTGTGTATGTGTCATCATATTAAAAGTAAACGTCATTTTAGTCTGATGAAGTTCTAAAGAATGAAAACTGTTACGCAAAAACATTTTCCATTTTACCATAGATTTCCCATATTATTCCATGCAGTTGTGGCAGAAAATGCCTGCTCCTGGCCCTAAAAGTAAAGCCAGAAAAACATAAAAACCACACATATAGTCAGCATTTCATAGTCTTTCTCTATGAAGGCAAAAAAGTAATCCCCCAACCACTGAGGAATGAAGTTAGAGCTTTGTTTTGGTTTCTTCTGTTTTACAGTATATCAACTTCAATGTGTTATTTAATGCTGACAAGATTTTTATTGCTGGCAATATTTGTTTGTTTTTTTTTAAAAAAATGTATTGCTAGTAATAATAATTTTTTTAAAAAATGTATTGCTGGTAATAATTAAAAAAAATGTTGCTGGTATTAAAACCTATTTTTTACACATTCATAGTGTTTTTACCCCAGATTGAAGGGTTAACTATTTGCCCATATCTGGGACCCTAACAGGTACTACCACCCTGGGACAGGGTGGACCTGGAAACAACAGCAATTAAGAGGTGGTGCCACACTCCTTAAAGCCTCTTGGTCAGAGGCATTGCTGCTGGATGTAGTTTATCGTCATACCCAGGACGCCTCATTGTTGAAGGGGTCTTACTCCTTTGAGAGATGCTGTCGGCATATTCTGAAGCCTTAAAAATGAAGTTAGAACAATAGAAAGAAAGCAATATTGGTAAATAAAACAAATCAGTAAACATGCTATGCCTTAATAACCTTCTCAGCAGGCCAAGCAGAAAAATGAGCACCATATCAAAAATTTTGATGAATACAAAACAGACAGGCTTAAGATTCAAATTCCACTATAGGATTAGCTTTATGGATAAAAGTATTTTCTTTTAAATCATTTCACTGCAAACAAGGAAACAAAGCCACTTACATGCAGGGGGTTATTAATAGTATTTTTTTTCTAATATTCTCTAATGAATATTAGAAAAAAAATACTATTAAGGAGAGAGAACAATAAAAGAACAGTAACATTTTGGAAGCATTAAAATTAACAAGCCAATGGTTGTCCCTGTTAACAACAGAATGTGGGTCATTTTTGAAATGAGCTTCCTATTTGACCTTATCGAACTGATCAGACTTACTAAGTGAATATAGTTAACTGAAGGTTATAAGTTCAGTCCCTGGGTCTGGCAGTGAAAGATATATATATATATATTGATTCAATAGGAAAAAAAAAAGCAAATGTGACATCAGAAGGATGCCTTACTGATGTCATATCCCTAGCATGGACAGTGTAATGAGAATAATCTGCTATCAAAATATTTCCAGTTTACCAAATGCAACAGATACCTGTAAAAGGTGAAAGGTATAATAGCGATGGCAAAATTGGCAAAAATATGGAGGAGCAAAATCAGATTCAAACAAAGTACAGACTGTACAGATCACTGGTAGTCTCCATTCTCCTATATGGATGTGAATTGTGGACACTGTTGGCAGAAACAGAGAGAAGGATCCAAGTGTTTGAGAACAAATACATGAGAAAACTCCTTGGCATCTTCTATTGGGAACATAATGAGTTTGTGCAGAAAAGTGTCAAAAGTTTTGTGGGCCACCAAGAGCCTCTTCTTGCCACTGTCAGAGAAAAATGACATGGTTCGGACACATTACAAGGCACAACAGCATTGGTGAACGTATGAGAGGACGCCAATCTAAAAACTGGTTGGAGAATGTCAAACAATGGACAGGTATGACTATACCAGAATTGCTTATGGCTGCCATTGATAGAATTTGTGGAGGAGATTTAGTGTGGATTTTGCATTCGGATCCCCCCTTATGATTACAAAAGTCAAGGGGATGATGATATTAAAGAAATTAAAAAAAGTAAGTGTGAAAATGGGATTGATTTTCATTTTTTTTTTTACAGCTTAACTTTTTGCAGGTTATTTAAAGCCAGAAAATATTTTTAGATTATAAAAAATTTTGCAGGTAATAATGATTTACTGATACAAGCCCTACTAATTAACCCATAGCTGGGGGGAAAATAGATTCATGCCTTTCCCAAGATTATACATCCAAGCTTAGAGCCGTTGGTATGCCCAAGTGGTCTCCTCTCTAGTTACTGACCAGGTTCAATGTTGCTTAACTTTGAGAAGTAGTGTTTCAATGTGATATGGCAGTAAGCCGTGAAAATACATATTTAAAAAATAAAAATATAACGTACTCTCATGTTCTCTCTCTCTCTCTCTCTGACATAGATATATAAAAATAGGCTATTGAAGTTAGGCTTGTTTGTTAAATGCTGTCACATGCTTGCAATTTTCAATCATACACAATACGATAGATATCTGGAAAACAATACACTACAAAATACTATTTCTGTGACATACTTTCCCATCATATAAGGCTTTGAACCTGTATTTATGTTAGTCACTGATTCCCCCCACACACACACACACACAAAGTATTAAAAGTATACTGGGTGGATTTTATTGCCAGATTCTATTAAAAAGGCAGTTTATTATCAGTTTCCCTCATCAACCTCTTCTATGAGCCTTATTCCTTCAGGATGTGGGTGATGATAGCTCTTCACAACTTCCTGTCCTTTGTAGCTCTTAGTAAATTTTCTCTTTTCACTATCTCTCCTAATCCCTGTTCTGCTAACCATCTACACAAGCTTGTTAGGTAGGTTAAATGTGGTCTTCTACTGTCTCTCTTGTCTTCAATATGTCCTGTGGAATATCAAATTTTCCAGGCCATCTTTCCTCATTATGTACCCTAGAAATTTCAACTGCTTCTTTCTGATGTTAAATATAAGTTTCCTTTTTGTTTCCATTTTCTCTAAAACTTCCTTGTTGGTCACATGTTCAATCCATGGTATTCTTAACATCCTTCTGTAGAATCACATTTCTGTTGCTTCAGATTTTTTCTTCATCTCTGAGGAGATTGTCTAGCATTCACTGCCATGCAAGGTGACTGATATTACATAACAGTTCAGTACTCTTTTCTTTGTTTCTGACAAGATTTTCCTGTTTCTTAATACTTTGCTTAGCTTTTAGAGGGCAATTTTCACTATCTCAATGCACCTTCAGATTTTGGTGTTTCACTTTTTATTCTCTGTTAAAACACTTCCCACTTTAGATTTTTGTACTTGCTTGATTTTGGCATCTCCAATTTGTAATTTGCATGTTGAGTTGTTCCTTTTGCTAACAACCATACATTGGAATGAATCTTATACAAAACTTCAACATAGAATCAAAGTATCAGTCCTTAGCATTTCTGATTAGGATCAGAATATAGCACTCCCTAGTTTCTGTCTTAACCATGTTTCAAAAATGGAAGCTGAAACTTTCGAATTTAATTTTGTAATTAAATTAAAAATATTAGTTCCATTTCATCTTCAAGTGAAATTTTTGAAACATGGTTAATACTGTGTAGCGAAAAAAAACATATTTTAATTCAGTTAATTTATAATATATATAGTAGGGGAAACAAATATTCGTACACATACAAATTTTTAATTTATTGTATTTCCATCTAATAATTAAGCATATGTTACATATAATTAACTGCACATAGATGCATAATAACTAAATATGCATAGAAAACAGAAAAAAAATTACTTAATAGAAATAAATCCCATTTATCCATTTTAATGTGTGAAAAATTTTTGTACAATACAAAAAAAGAATACATAATCTTCACTTAATACTTTATAGAATAGCCATTATTCACTTCTACATCCACCAACCTCTTCTTGTAGTTCTCAATGATTTGCAAATTTTAGTTGGTAATTTGTTCCATTCCAGACCAATAAATGTAATAAACCCTGATTAATAAATAACAAAACAATTAGTATCCACTATAAGAACATTTGAAGTAGTAAAAATTCAGATACAGTGTAACCCGGATATAAGAGAGATTTTCTCTGGTTCCAAATTAGAGCCTGTGTTAATGTATATAAAATAGACTAAACCCGGATATAAGAGACTTCTTCTCCGGTCCCGACAACTGTCTTATATCCGGGTTACACTGTATAACTAAAAATATGTCTGTAAAAAGACAATAGGAATAAAGTTTTTTTGTCTTTTTATATATATATATATATATATATATATATATATATATATATATATATATGTATGTTTACACACACAAGGAAAGTGCTGCAAAGTTCTCAACTTCCTAAAATCTAACTAAGTCCCAGAATTGTTTCAGAAGATATTCTTGTTCCTCTCTCTCTCAAACACAAACACACACTTGTGAGTGTCTGTATTATTTAAAGGTTTGGTAACTGTGTATATAAGCATACATAACTACAATATTAACCCATCACTACAAATTGCTATGAAACCAAAACATCAATCTGAAAAT